CTTACAGGTTTGTCTCAACTCTCAATCGATCGAATTCGAAAACTGTTCTGTTTCTCAGTCTATCGAATTCCCGGTTCCATCGGCGAGATTTTAGCCAGTGATCAACAGATTTTGCTTTTTCTTTCTTTTGAATTTGTTTTATTTAATTATTGTTTTAAAAAATAATTCAAAATCCTTCCTTGATCTGATATTCTGATTGATGATTACAGAAGAACTCAGAGAGAGCGTGGGCCTAGTGGAGACTGACTGATCGGCGATCATGGCGGGTCGGAACGTAGTGAAGATGGCATCGATTGATGCGCAGCTTCGTCAACTGGTTCCTGCTAAAGTGAGCGAAGACGATAAGCTTGTCGAGTACGATGCTCTTCTCCTCGATCGCTTTCTCGACATTCTCCAGGATTTACACGGCGAGGATCTCCGCGAAACGGTAAACAAATCCTTAAACTTTTACAAACTCAATACCCATTTGCTCAGATCGCAAAAAAAAATCAAACCTTTATCACAAATTTGTTACGATGAGTCGTATCAGATTAAATTGACTTGTTGTTGTTGTAGAGGAATTTGTATTGGTTGATCTGAAAAATGGAACCTTTTGTTTTTAGTTATGATTATTGGAACCAAAGGCAAGGTTTTTAAAATGATTTTGGTGTACAGGTTCAAGAGCTATACGAGCTCTCTGCTGAATATGAAGGGAACCGTGAGCCTAAGAAGCTAGAGGAGCTAGGGAGTGTCCTGACGAGTTTGGATCCTGGTGACTCCATTGTTATCTCCAAGGCTTTCTCCCACATGCTTAACTTAGCCAATTTGGCTGAGGAGGTGCAGATTGCTTACCGCCGTAGGATCAAGAAGCTGAAGAAGGGTGATTTCGTTGACGAGAGCTCTGCCACTACTGAGTCTGATATCGAAGAGACTTTCAAGAGGCTCGTTTCTGATCTCGGTAAGTCTCCTGAGGAGATCTTTGATGCCTTGAAGAATCAGACTGTGGATCTGGTTTTGACTGCTCATCCTACTCAGTCTGTGCGTAGATCGTTGCTTCAGAAGCATGGGAGGTTAGTTTTTGACTTCCTTTGGATTCTCTCTGTTTGCTTAAGAGTGTGAGTGAGACAACTCTGATGACAAGTTTATAAAATTGGTTTTTTTCAGGATAAGGGATTGTCTTGCTCAACTGTATGCAAAGGATATTACTCCTGATGACAAGCAAGAGCTTGATGAGTCTCTGCAAAGAGAGGTATAAACTCAACCTCACTGGATTGTTGATTTGACATTATCCTCAGAAAATGATGAAAAGATTGGTTTTTTATAACTCTCTCTCTCTCCTGTGTTGTTTAGATTCAAGCTGCATTCCGAACAGATGAGATCAGAAGAACACCTCCGACCCCTCAAGATGAAATGAGAGCTGGGATGAGCTATTTCCATGAGACGATCTGGAAAGGTGTTCCTAAGTTCTTGCGCCGTGTGGACACAGCTCTGAAAAACATTGGGATTGATGAACGTGTCCCTTATAATGCTCCATTGATTCAGTTCTCTTCATGGATGGGCGGTGACCGTGATGGTACTGACGTTTTCTTTGCATTACTAACAAACGAGTCTCTCTCTATCTCTCTTGTTTCCTCTTGTTTCACCCTCTAAACGACTTGCTGGAATTTCAGGTAACCCAAGGGTCACACCTGAGGTCACTAGAGATGTGTGCTTGTTGGCTAGGATGATGGCTGCCAATCTCTACTATAACCAAATCGAGAATCTCATGTTTGAGGTTTTTAATCTCTCTTCAAAATCTCTTGAATCATTTATTTAATGTTCTCTCGGATCATTCATTTATCTTCTTGGCAGTTGTCTATGTGGCGTTGCACTGATGAGTTCCGTGCAAAGGCTGATGAAATCCACAGGAACTCAAGGAAAGATGCTGCAAAGCATTACATAGGTTAGAAGCAGAACAAGAAACAAATAAGTATAAAATGGTATTGCTTTGGCATTCTTCTTAAGTTGTCTTGTTGAACTCAATGCAGAATTCTGGAAGACAATTCCACCAACTGAGCCATATCGTGTTATTCTTGGTGATGTGAGGGATAAACTGTATCACACACGTGAGCGTTCTCGTCAACTGCTGAGTAACGGAATCTCGGACATCCCCGAAGAAGCTACTTTCACCAATGTGGAACAGGTAAAGCAATCTCTATACTCTGCAAACTGTTTATTTACTAAGTTGTGTTTACTGTTCTTTGTTTCTATTGACGCAGTTCTTGGAGCCTCTTGAGCTCTGTTACCGATCACTATGTTCATGTGGTGACCGGCCAATAGCTGATGGAAGCCTTCTTGATTTCTTGAGGCAAGTCTCTACCTTTGGACTCTCCCTTGTGAGACTTGACATTAGGCAAGAGTCTGAACGCCACACTGATGTCTTGGATGCTATCACCAAGCACTTGGACATCGGCTCCTCCTACAGAGACTGGTCTGAGGAAGGCCGACAGGAATGGCTTCTAGCTGAACTAAGCGGCAAGCGTCCACTTTTCGGACCTGATCTTCCCAAAACCGAAGAAATTTCTGATGTCTTGGACACATTCAAAGTCATATCCGAGCTGCCTTCAGACTGCTTTGGAGCTTACATTATCTCCATGGCAACTTCGCCTAGCGATGTGCTCGCCGTTGAGCTTTTACAGCGCGAGTGTCACGTGAAAAACCCACTTAGAGTTGTTCCACTCTTTGAGAAGCTAGCTGATCTTGAAGCAGCTCCTGCCGCTGTTGCAAGACTCTTCTCTTTAGACTGGTACAAAAACCGAATCAATGGTAAGCAAGAGGTTATGATCGGTTACTCAGATTCAGGGAAAGACGCTGGGCGGCTCTCAGCAGCTTGGGAGCTGTACAAAGCTCAAGAAGAGCTTGTGAAGGTTGCTAAGGAATATGGAGTGAAGCTAACCATGTTCCATGGCCGTGGTGGTACAGTCGGAAGAGGAGGTGGTCCCACCCATCTTGCTATATTGTCTCAGCCACCGGACACAGTTAATGGCTCACTCCGAGTGACTGTTCAGGGTGAAGTCATTGAGCAATCATTTGGAGAGGAACACTTGTGCTTTAGGACACTTCAGCGTTTCACAGCTGCTACTCTTGAGCATGGCATGAACCCTCCGGTTTCACCAAAACCCGAGTGGCGTGCTTTGCTAGATGAAATGGCGGTTGTTGCAACTGAGGAATACCGATCTGTAGTGTTCCAAGAACCTCGATTTGTTGAGTACTTCCGCCTCGTAAGTACTCATTCCACATCAATCCAAAGTTCACCAAAAATGTTGTAAGTACCTCAAACGGTTGGTTTGGTTTTGCAGGCTACACCGGAGCTAGAGTATGGGCGTATGAACATCGGAAGCAGACCATCGAAGCGAAAACCGAGCGGTGGGATCGAGTCTCTCCGTGCAATCCCATGGATCTTTGCATGGACGCAAACAAGATTCCATCTTCCTGTGTGGCTAGGATTCGGAGCAGCTTTCAGGTATGCAATCAAGAAGGATGTGAGGAACCTCCACATGCTGCAAGATATGTATAAACACTGGCCGTTTTTCCGAGTCACCATCGATCTGATTGAAATGGTGTTCGCCAAGGGAGATCCCGGGATCGCTGCTTTGTACGACAAGCTTCTTGTCTCGGAAGATTTGTGGGCCTTTGGAGAGAAACTCAGAACCAATTTTGAAGAAACCAAGAACCTCATCCTCCAGGTATATTAAGAAAAAAAAAAAAAACAGAGTACTCTGTTTCATATTCTTGCAGTAGCACTAAAATCTTTTTATTGCAGACTGCTGGACACAAAGACCTTCTTGAAGGAGACCCTTACTTGAAACAGAGACTCAGGCTGCGTGACTCTTACATTACGACTCTCAACGTTTGCCAAGCCTACACGTTGAAGAGGATCCGTGATTCAAGCTACAATGTGACTCTGCGACCACACATTTCCAAAGAGATCATGCAATCAAGCAAATCAGCACAAGAGCTCGTCAAGCTTAACCCAACGAGTGAGTACGCGCCTGGACTTGAGGACACTCTCATCTTAACCATGAAGGGTATTGCCGCAGGATTGCAAAACACCGGTTAAGTGAGTGAGAGAAAACAAAACTTCGAGTTTGTCTTCTTGTTTTTTATCTGCCCTTTTTTTTTAATAATCTCTTTTTTTTCTTAGAATCGAAAAATAATAAGTTATTACGGTTGGATTACAGTTTACTTTTATGTATCCACCGTTAGAAATTTTTTTAATCTTCCACATTGTATGAATCTAAACACTGCTCTGTTTCTGGGAGTGGAAACAAAAACAGAGGCAGTGTAATCTTAATATCTATCTTCTTCTTTGTCTTTTTGTTTCCAACTCTCTGTTTCTAGTTCCACAAAACCAGAATCATTTACGCTTCTTGATTGATATCTTCTTACGCCACGTGTAACTGCACGTTGTCTAAAGTCTGAATGTGGTCCCCGACTCTCTGCACGGCATGTTTAATCGAACCAGGCCGTTAAAGAAGGGAGGTGCTTCGATGGAACGACACGGTTTTTTGTTTTCTTTAAGACGCACGGCACGTATTTCGTCTACATGTATGGTGTGTACAGTTTCACTGCTAAAGATGCCAGTAAAAAGAGAGTGTTAATCACGCGCCTCAAACCGGTGTATTGCGTGTGTTGCAAGCCAAAATAAGCATTCCATCACATTCAATAAGCTTACTATTCATCTAGGTCACACAAACATATAAATAAGACAAAAAGGTAATGCAAAGATATATTACTGGAAGAAGAGAGAGTAAGAATTTTTCTTTACGGCAAAAATGTTTTGACGAACGACATGAATGAATGGCTCTCTCTCTGTTTATTTACTATGGTTTCATCACCTAAGGAACCAAAATTTTCTCTATGTACACATTACTAATCAATGAATGAATCAAAACCCTAAAAACACCTAATTCTGAGAGATGATTATTGACAAGTGTTTCTCTTTTCTTTATGAACCAGTAAGTAACTTTGGTTTGAGTTTGCTAAGCGACATAGTTCCTCACTGAATTCTCCAATGCTTCTTTGCTTGGACAAACAATCTCCTTGATCCTAATCCCAAGTCTGAAGATCTTGATTGTTGGCACAACTCTCACTTTCTCTTTATCATTAACCGCAGGACATTTCTCGATCTCCACCTACAGAAACATCATCACATTATAAGTTCACTTGTTCATAGACTAATCATCTTGAAAGTATTGCTTTCTATTTTACCTTGAGGAAGTGAATAGATGGATAACGAATGCAGAGGGTGTCCATGAAAACACACATCTCTTTGCATTGTTGATCAGCAGCTCTCATAAAATGTACAATGGTAGTTCCTGCAATTTGAAGCGTGCACAACAAGATATTAATAAGGAAAGCTCTCTCATCTGTTGTAAAGAGAAGACAAAGTTCAAATTACCAGGACGGGTCAATGCAGCTCTAAACTCTTGAAAACTAGAAATCTCCTCAACTTCTCCTCCAAACTCCATGTTTAGAACTACTTCTCCGTGAGATTTCTTCAACGCAACTTGAGCGTGAAACAAAGACTCAGCAATTTCTTTGTCATAAGGTAGTTCCTGTCTTAAGAATTCGTAATCTCTAACTGCTTCAAGCCATTGCTCCAGCTACAGTTTCACAGAAACATCCCTTAAGAACAGATAACAAAAAGAAGCCAAAGCTAATCATCCATATCATATAGACTTCCACAATTACCTTGCAGTATGATGCGGCTCTCTGACGATAAGCCTTTATGTAACTCGGGTGAATAAGCAACGCATGGTCACAATCCTCGATCGAGCTCTCCCACATCCCAACTTTAAAGAAACAGTCTGCTCTAAGACTCAACAGAGGAGCATTGTACGGATCAAACTTAAGTCCTTCTGCATAAGCTGCTCCTGCCTCAGTGTATCTTTCTGACTCATAAAGATCGTTGCCACGATCACGAGCCTTGGCAATCAACCTAACATTCCTATAAAACGATTCGATCTCACTGTTTCTTGGATCCATCTCTGAAGCTTTCTCTGCAGCTGTAACTGCATTTTCAAACCTGCAACCATTTGTCATCTGCTTCTTTACTCTTCTCTTCCATAAACATAACCAAAATACTCAAATCAACATGTCTTATAAACCATTAAACCTCACCTTCCTAGAGCTAACTCCATTTGGGATTTGACAAACAACATGTAAGCTTCACAGATCATATCGAAGAGCCGAGTATGTGAGATACAGACTGGGAAAGGATCCACTTTGGGAACAAACGCTAGTACTGTTTGAGCATCATCAATCCTCACGAGTTTCAGTAGTGCTTCAACTTTACACATAGATAGCTGCAGATTGGTGGTGAGATTTGTTAATAACTTACAAACGTATTAAAGAATGTAAGAGAACAATGTTTGCTTTTTACCTGAGGAGACAAATCAGCTCCAGACACCATAGCTGCACATACTTCATTCAAAACAATATTCCAGTCACCACGTCTTCTTGCTTCTGTGCATTTAAACAAGTGTTTGTCTACCATCTCAAGCACCTTCACCACCATTGGATCTGATGGTTCCTCCTTTGAGAAAAAATGCTTCCCTGCACTATCAACCTGACCTAATCTGCAATCCAATCAAAGAAAGACTCAAATCCATCAGAATCTTTGATATATTTCTATCAAGAATCTACAAGCAATTCAGTGGTTTAGTTTACCTAAGAAGCAATGTGCCTAAACGGTGATGAGCTCTAGTGAAATTCGGATCCAAGTTGATAGCTTTTTCACACTCAATCACAGCTTCACCGATCCGGCCCAAACCCGTCAAAGCAGCTCCACGATTACTATGGCAAGTCGCGTTACTCGGCGAGAGCTCTAATGCTCGATCGTACAGCCTCAAAGCGTCGTTGAAACAGCCTTTCTTGAACATTTCGTTTCCAGATCTCTTTAAATCGTCCGGATTCGTACTATTCATCATTTGCCTCCACGTTGTTTCCGTAACGTCTGAGTCGCCGGTGAATCTTTTGCTGACGACTTGAAACGGACCGGAGAAAGAAGAAGCAGAGGACGACGACGTTGTTGTTGGCTTCACAGGAGGAGAGACGCTGTTTCCTCTCATTATGTTGCCGTATCCGTATGATTTGGTGTTGGTGGCGGCTCCTGTTGCAAGAACCATGCTTTTTTGGTTCTTTTGAGTCGTGCTATTGCTCATCCCTGTAATTTGGACTTTCCCGGACGGGAAAAGGTTTCCGGCGGGGATTATCTTGACCGGCTGTTGCGGCGGAGTAGTGCTTTTGCCCGTTTGTTTTAATGCCGAGTCCGCTGAAGCAGAGCGTCTCAGATTACCACCCGCGGTCTTTGGGATGCTACTGCTTGACCCGATTTTAGCGCCGGCGGGATTGCTGGACCCAGGCTGTGCGGCGGAGGGACTGGTAGACTTGGAAGGTTTATCGCCGGACTTAATTTGAGCGGTGGAGGGAGGGGTAGTCTTTGAAGATTGAGCGGCGGAGGGAGCGGTGGATTTTGGAGATTGAGCGGCGGTGGGTTTTGAAGATTGAGCCGCGGCGGACTTGGAAGATTTCGCGGCGGAGGTGGCGCTGGATTTCAATTGAACGCCGGCGAGATTGCTGGACGCGGATTGAGCGGCGGCGGAGGGAATGCTAGGCTTGGATTGAGCGGTGGAGGGATTTGACCGATCGGAATCGGGTTTTCTCGTTACCGGAGCATGCCCGACGCGGCCCGTTACCGATCCCGACGAGCTAGAACTGCAGCTGCTGCTAGTGGTAGTTGTGGTTGCCGCGGAGGTGAGTCCACTCGCCCGAGTCTGAAGCGGAGTAATCGGTGATCCAAGATCGGCATTAACAGTATCTGGCTTGTTATCTTCTATCTTCAATGAGTCGCGAAGCTTATCGTCGACGGTGTCAGGTTCCGGTGTAGATTTATTCGGTTTCGACATTGGATTCTACGATAGCCGGAGATGATCGCAAGAATCCCAAACCTTTCCCTGCCGTAGCGTTTTCTCTCCGGGAGGAAATTAAGAGCAACGACGAGCGTCAATGGCGGAACAAGAAAGAAACGAGGGAGAATCAGAAGACTGAAAGTAGGATCGGATATTCTGAACAATGCATCAACGGGAGAGGAGAGAGAAGAGAACGATCTTGCGATGTAGAAGAAGGAAGCAAAAGAATGAATGTGATTTTGTTTTCTAGAGAGAGAAAGTAGTTTTCTCCAGAAAGAAAGTTTCAGAGAAGAATAGAAGGAGACGAAGAACGAGTGAAACCAAAAAAATATAAATTCTTTTTTCTTAAAATTTATTTACCTACAAAAAAATCAAAATCAAAAGGTGATTTATTTTGTTAACTGTTTTCTTTTCTTCCGCTTGAAACTTGTGGTAGTCAAAACAAAAAAATTATGTCGTACGAATAACTTTACATTATAAAGATGTGCCTTTAATCATTGATTTTCACCAGATTTTGCCTAGTCAAATGAAAACTAATGTTCACTATGATCTAAACTTTTTTGAGATTTTGGAAAATCTAATTTAGGATTTGGTTTTTAGCTATTATTCAAATCCAAAGTCTTGACTGAATCCATCGTTCCTCGTGGATTGCGCTCTGAATATGTCCACGCAACACTCTACTATATAATTATTTTCTGATGATGTGAAACTTCATAGGCTCAGACTATTTTTTTATACAATTCATCGAAAATGGTATCATATGTGAATGACATAAAAAAAAAAGTATTATATGCATGTAAATGTTGACAAAAATAGGGTCCCTTGCCTTCATTCACCTGACTGCTTCACTTCCACGAGACATATATTTCATTATTGTTTTAGTTTTTTTGTAATTTTTTTTTATATCTTCTCTTTCTCAAATTCGAAGGAGAATGTCTTATCAAGAAATAATATAATCTGCTGACTTGGCTCACTCGCGTGCCGTTGAGAGGTGACGTCCACACTCCTAAAGCAATAGTTTATTAATTAGTTGATTAATTAATCATCCTCGTTTGGAAGGTCACGACCAATATAAAAGCATGCACAGATGCACGTAACTATAAAAAAGGAAAAGAAAACTGTTTAACCATTGGTAATAAAGATGTGAAGTAACTTGTTAACTTCTTCTTTTTTTTTTTTTTTTTTTTGACAAAAGGCTTTTGTTAACTTCTTCAAAACCTCAAAATACAACAAATAAAGTAATTAACATAGGTTTGATTTACCACAGATTTTGTTGCCAACTAATTTAGCACACTTGTGTAGCTCTCTCTACATGTATACTTACGTTATGTACATGTATATATTGTAACTTGGTTGGTAGGTTCATGAACCTACTTCTAATTTAGACAATGTGGTTGTAATTAATATGTCTAGATTCTATAGTTAGAGAGAGTAGGTAAATACGCACTTTGTTCTTTAACAAAAAATTACCCACATAATTGGCTGAGATAATATTCCATATGTTTAAAATTATATGATCTGATCGAAACATTATACACGGAATGAAATAAACTAATCCTACTTTTGCATCAACATTTTACATCTTTGTCAAAAAATATCAACATTCTACATGTTACACGGAATATACATGTTTCAACATGATTTGCATCAAACAAATATGATGGTTTGAATCCTAAATATGATGTCACACTAATCATCACTGTCTCTGGTTAGCATGGATAAGAGGGCGTGGCAGAAAAGTACGTGTACGTATGAAATGATTTAAAATGTTTTACTTTTCTTTTCTTTTCTTTCTTAGCAGAAATGTTTTACTTTCTTTTCTTTTTTGATAATTATATACTGTTTTCTTGTTCTTTTTGTAGCCGAATTACTAAGTTTTTACTTGTTCTCAGCGAAGATGTTTCAAAAGAACGACCGTAATTTTCTTTTTGACAGAAGACCAACCAAATAGTGATGCTTTCTTTTTTTTGTTAATCGATTTATAATTTAGTGGGTGTTTCTATATTCTTAATGCATAATGTAGGCAGCAGAGAAATTTCTCCTTTGATCTCTCTTTTTTTTCGTAATATGATCAGAAAAGAAAAATGAAATATACAATTTCAAGAAGAGAAAAATAGCAAATGGTTGAAGGACCAAGGATGGGTTCTTTTATTTTTTTGATGGTATTATGGGTTTTGACAGCTTTGGATGTGTTTACACGATGATAGTGAGATTCCAACTTTTTGTTTTTGTTGGACTAAAAGACCTCATTTTAGGATACTTCTTCTCTTTTAGTCATCTTTTTTCGCAGACCCCAAAATGGATTTATTTTTCAATCTTAATATGATCAAAACAGAGACCCTACACCTACACGTGTACTGATTTATTTTATATTTCACATATGTTAATCTATTAAAGTTTCTATTATTTTATGAAGTGTCTTCCATAGAAAGTTCAAATGGTACCGCACCAAACCAAAAAGAAGAGCTTGATCGATTCACAATGTAACTGAGTTTGAGAAATTTTATGAAATACACCTTTTGATGTGCAAATTTTCAAAATTACATCTATAGTGTGGAAATTTTCAAAAATACACTTTTTCCCAATTTTAATATATATGTTTGGGTTCACTAATCCTATATTAGGGTTTAGATTTTGAGATTTAGGGTTTAGATTTAAGGGTTCAATGTTAGATTTTAGGGTTTTGGATTTATATTTTAGGGTTTAGAGTTTTTTTACTAAATGAAAAAAGTGTAGTTTTGAAAATTGGCACCATAGAGGTGTATTTTTGAAAATTTGCACATCAAGAGGTGTAGTTTTGAAATTTCCCCGACGAGTTTTTCCTTTCCGTCTCCTGATAATACGAGCAATTAGTTCAATCTTAATACTTGTACAACAAGGAATCACCCAAAACTTGGGTTAAACAAAATTTACTATACTCTAGTTTTATAAACCCTAAAGCCGTTTGAGCGAAGGATCAAGTCTCGTCGCTTTTCTGGCATTGCCGCCGAAAGTACAGAGCAGAGTAAGTGAAAATTCAAAAGTCTTGCACAATCTGTGAGAAGAACTTCAATTGATCTTCGACCACCGAATGAGATACAGTTGTATATAAGAGGTAAAGATCATTCATCATCCGATGGCAAAGTCGGGCTCTTTGAGCAGCTTTCTAGCTTGTGAAGATCCAACATCCTTTTCTCTGGGTTACAAAGACCTGAAACCAATTCAATCAAAACTGTGATCAGTTGTTGTAGAAATGCTTTATATGAAAAAGTAAGTCTGGTTCCATTTGCTTAAGGCCTGGGATGAAGAAAATGTGAATATATAATCGAACCTGAGCATTTTGGGATATCCCAAACAGCAATAGAGTAGGGTGAGCATTCTGGTTCACAAAGTGTGTGATGGTTCTCGTGGTTGACGTTCATTGCCAGCATCCACGCACCTATTGTCACGTCCTCATTGCTAAACATCCTGAAACTGAAGTTTGAAAAATCTCTCTTTATTAAAACGAAAGGCTTTAACTGGTAAAAGACTCTTGATCTGTATCCAGGAACAGAGTCGACCTCTTCAATAGCGAAGCCGAAGAACGAACAAAAATAGAGGAGACATAACTTACCTGTTGTTCTTGAGGGCAACCAAACTAGTTACAACATCAGCGGAAAGAGCATATATGGGGCCATAGGCATGAAGAAAATACTCTTTCCCCAGCAAATCTGCCAAAGGTTCATACCTGCAAATTGCAACCAATTTTCAGGTAACTAAATCACAATTCACAAGAGAGAATCAGGTGTTACAAATCCGATCATTTCTTAAAAGAGAAGCAACAGGACCTCTAGTCCGTGTTGTGTTAGTGTTTTCGTGTGCTTACCATTTGAGCTTTGGATCTGTGAAAACAGGACCTTTTTTCAGGCATCCAAGGTATGTCTGCGAGTGACTCCGCTCTTTAGCCAACAGCAAAGACAATCGATCTGCGAAGAAAATAACAGCCTCATATAAAGTCCACAACTTTCCAGAGGATGCGGATTAATGTGCAAATAAGAGAATTCAATGATTTGCCTGGCCTCAAGTATATATCATCATCAGCTTTGACATAGAACTCTGAATCATACAGGGCATATGCAGCTTTGAAGAAAGCCAAACTATACAACACAAAACATAAGGATCAGAGTTTTTCGTGCTAACCAAAATGAGATGAGAACAGAGAAGTGTTAGCCTTTAACTAACGTTTTGTATGGGAGCTTACTGTACTCCTCCTCGATGTCAAGCAGTATAAAGTCATCGTACTCTGCGATCTCCCTTCTAAGCTCAGCCATTTTCTTCTCATCTTTCGTTTTGCCAATAATAAACCTGATGGCCAGTCCTGTTGATTCTTCCAAGCTGCATAGAGCAGTTGTTTTCAGTGAAATAGTGAAAGTCTCAAGACTCAACTACCAAAATGATCATCAATCAAGCATTGGCAGATAACTGATAACGCCTCAAGATCATTGATTGTATTCAGGAAAATACTATATTCAGCTTCCATTGGTTTCAGATCTCAAAGGTTTAAGCTTATGATCAATGACTAGATTCATCTCTAACCAGATCAGATTCATGACTAGGGTCTTCTATTCATATCCAGATCAAGCCAATTTCGATTATCGAAATGGATTCTAATGCGTAAACAATGGCAGAAGAATGAATCAATTTGAGAATTTGAGAGAAGAAGAAGAATCAGTACCGTCGAAGGCCTTCTGGATCGGACGGCATCCAAGTGTTTCTGAGCGCTCGTCTCCGGCCAGCTGACGCGAATCCGGTCTGAATACCGACGAATCCCATCACCTTGTGTCTCTTCACTCCGCCGCTAAGGCCATTGCCGTGATTGCTAATGCTATTTCCAGCGACGTCCCAGACGACCCGTACCGTCTTGGGAGGGGAGTTCGTGAGGCAGGTCCGGCCGGATAACCGGAGACTCGGGAAAAGGATAGCGGATAATCCGAAGAGGAATCCGGTGAGGCCGATAGCAAGAGAGGTGAAGACGATAAAAGCCGACGATCGGCGATTGGAGAGTGATGGCCGCGCGTGAAACAGCTTCAGCCTCGGAGAAGACGGCATGGTTTGTAATCGGTCGTTAATGGCGATACACTGGTCTGCTGTTTCTTAGATCAGGTGGATCCAATTTTCCGGATCCGGATCCGTTTTCAAGATGCACGGATTTTATGTGTATGAATGAAAGTTATTATGATAACAAAACAATTTTTAAAACATTTAATGATGGTAATAACATAAGTTAGGCATACAATTTGACCAAATTAACAAGAGTGATTTTTAAGAAAAGCAGTTAATGTACTAATGTCAAGTAGATTTTAGAATAGCATTCATGGTAAAGCGTTGTTGACCATGTAATTTATTAAAAAGGGTTACAAGATTCTAGATCAAGAATATGAAAGATTCTACAACAAAAATATGCAAAATTATCATATACTTTTGTGTTTTATCTCTTCAAGTTGTAGCATTGTGTAAAATGTTTAAACTTTGAATCATACGGTCGTTAATAATGCCATATCATCATATTATTATGATCTTGCCTTGATTACGAAAGCTAACTTGGCTCGCTTCAACTCCAATCAACAATATTTGGCTGATATTTATGCTTGCTTCATAAACACGTTATCGAAAAAGAGCAAGGAAATTGAGTGGACAAAAGGCGGTCATAGTTTTTTTTTTAATATCCAGTCTGTGAGAAGCAACTTCAATGGCGGACGTATCGACTGGGATCTTCCATCAACGAACGGAGATATATAAAAAAAAAAGGTAAAGATCATTCATGATCCGAGGGCAAAGTGGGGCTCTTTGAGCAGCTCTGTAGCTTGTGAAGTTCCAACAATCTTTCCTCTGGGTTACAAAGACCTGCACCAATTCAAAATCCAGGCTGTGATGCAAAAGAAACTCTGGATCCCATCCAATGCTTAAGGCTGGGATGAAGAAAATGTGAACCTGTGCATTTTGGGATATCCCAAACAGCAATGGAGTAGGGTGAGCATTCTGGTTCACAGAGGGTGCCATGGTTCTCGTGGCTCACGTTCATTGCCAGCATCCACGCACCTATTGTCACGTCCTCGTTGCTAAACATCCTGAAGCTGAGCGCTTGAAAGTTCTCTCTTTATTAAAACGAAAAGGCTTTTAACACGTAAAAAAGACCAACAGAGTAGATGAATTATTATATAACCTTGCCTATTGTTCTTGCGGGTAACCAAAAGAGTGACAACATCAGCGGAAAGAGCATAAATGGGGCCACGGGCATACGCAAAGTACTCTTTCCCCAGCAAATCTGCCAAGGGTTCATACCTGCAAATTCCAACCAAGAGATGTGATTAGATCTCTGAGTCGCTTCTTGTTCTTAATGTTTTTCCGGTGCTTACCATTTGATCTTTGGATCTGTGAAAACAGGACCTTTTTTCAGGCATCCAAGGTATGTCTGAGAGTGACTCCGTTCTTTAGCCAAGAGCAAAGACAACCGATCTGTGAAGAACATAACAGCCTCTTATAAAATCATAAACTTTCAGGAAGACACACGGTTTAATGCGCAATCAATTACCTGGCCTCAGATATATATATCATCATCAGCTTTGACATAGAACTCTGAATCATATAGAGCGTATGCAGCTTTGAAGAAAGCCAAACTATACACAGCACAGAACATATACAAGACCATGGATCAGAGATTTTCGTTTCATCTGTTACTCTCTAATACTATATAGACAAGTGTGTGTGTATATTGACAAGTGTTACTCTCTAACTGACGTTTTGTATGGGAGCTTACTGTAACCCTCCTCGATATCGAGCAGTATAAAGTCATCGTGCTCTGCGATTTCCCTTGTAAGCTCTGCCATTTTCGTCTCATCTTTGGTTTTCCCTATTATAAACCTCATGGCCAATCCTGTTGATTCTTCCAAGCTTCATCAAGTATTCAGAAAAAATACTATATTCAGCTTCCACTGGTTTCAGATCATTAAGGTCAATGGTCAGATTCCACTCTACGATTTTCTATTCAAATCCAGAAGAATCAATTTGAGATTTGAGAGAAGAAGAAGAATCAGTACCGGCGAAGCCCTTCCGGATCGGACGGCATCCACGTGTTTCTGAGCGCCCGTCTCCGGCCAGCTGAATCGAATCCGGTCTGAATACCGACGAATCCCATCACCTTGTGCCTCTTCACTCCCCCGCTAACGCCATTACCGTTACTATCTCCACCGTCGACCCGTACCGTCTTCGGAGGGGAGTTCGTGGGGTAGGTCCGGCCGGGTAACCGGAAATATAATCCAAAGAGGAATCCGGTTAGCCCGATAGCAACATAAGTGAAGACGATAAAAGCCGTCGATCGGCGCGTCAAGAGTGATGGCCGGGCGTGAAACAGCTCCACCTTCTGACAAGTTTGTAACGGTCGAGCTACGGATCCGTTAACACTCGTTAACGGCGATACGAGTCTTCTGTTTCACACATCAGGTGGATCCATTTATGTGTATCAAAGTTTGTACAACATAATTACATCAATTAGGCAGGTAATTTGACTAATTGAATCAGCCATTAGTGTACTAAATCAACTCATGTGTGTTTAGCATTACTTACTTATTTTAATATTTTATATATACCCGAGAGCAAAAGATCGGAAAAGAGGCAAGAGAAGAGAGAGTGGACAAAAGGCCGGTCATAGTTTCTTATTTAGTCTGATTTATATATACTAATCCGAGTCTTCTAGAGAGCTATCATCAGAGTCAAGATGTTCATCAACACAAAGCAGCATCTCATCACTAACATTATTTACTACTCCTACACCACTAACTTGCCTTTCTTCTTCTAATGCTGCTGAGGAGGAAGAAGCTCTTTTCGTCACTTCTTCTGATGAAAACTTTGACACCTTTTCCTGCAAACAATCTTCTTCTTCTTCTTCTTCCATGGAGACCGTTGTTGTCTCTGGCCTATCAGTGGCATTGCTGTCTTGAGTTGTGTTCTCTGTTTCTGAAGTTGGCTCTGTTTCGTTGGTTCCAAGTGGCACGGGGGAGAGCTCATCGTCTGATCCTTGTGGAACCATCTGACCACAGCTCTTAGTCATGGAGAACCTGGCTTTCTCTATATCATCTGCTTCTTTGTTCGATGGGTTATCATGTTCTTTAACGAGACGAACACCTGTGCACAAGTGAGGATTCGATGACTCGCGATGTAACTACTAACTAGAGAGAGAGAGAAAGAAAGAGAGGTTGGCTTTTTTTACCTTTCACAGTGTTGGGGTTTGTGCACTCGTATAGCGTTTTCTTGAGCAGAACTGTCCCAGGGAACACCATCAAGTTTAACCTTTTGAGAGCATCGCGTTCTTCATCCTCCATGGGTTTGAAGCCAAAACCTTCAGTCCAGGTTTCCACTAGACTTGGCAACGCAGCTACCACAAGCTTCTCCACTTTTAGAGACATAAGCATCTGCAGTCCAAACCAACCAATAGATCAGAAAATCAGAGTATGAGAGTTGCGAGTTAATCCTACGACAGCAGGAATCAAGAGAGAAGTGGAAGAAAGATAATACGAGCTAAGAGATGATTATCAATTAAGTGCAACTGTGAAGGTTAGCATACGAGAGTGCTTTGCGTCTATCGTTTTACATAATTAATTTGGATGGAGGCTCAAAGAACAATCACATGGGCACATTCTAAATATTGTACCTCTTCGATGGCAGTCACGAGGATTCTGCACATCCCCTGACGACGATACTTGCTGCAGGTAGCTACAAGAGGCATCTCTGCAACACTCACTCCATGCACCCTTGAGACAGTAAAAATGGGTTTTCAATATGGATTCTAAGCATTCATTTGCCAGTTAAAGCAAATATGTATCTGTTTTGTTCAGGTGATATATAAGCACAAAAGAGCTTCATTACTAACCTGATGGATGCTGCTGAGATCATCACATCGTTCTTTTCCACAACCACAGTGTAAAACCCATCAAAGTCTAAACGGGCATATTTTGAACTGTACGTGTGCAACAACAAAATTCAATAAAAGATTAAGACGGCTCTCGTTGAAAATAAAAACCAGCACTGATGTGGTACAAAACTAACACACAGAAACGAAAGTGTGCAAGCTAATGACGCAAGGACGTTACCCCCAGTTGTATAGCACGTGAGGTATCATGTCAATACCAGTTCTTGTATCTACCATTGACAGAAAGCATTCCTCCATGATTGATAGAGCAACAGCTAATTTCGAGTTGCATTCCGCCTTCAGTGCCAATCTTCGTGCAGAATGAACTTTTCCATCTTCTTGAAAACACTTCAAGATTGTCCAAGACAAGCCCTCCGCATTAGGATTAATGATCCCAACACGAGAACTGAGACCAACGTGCACCTGCAATTCCCCAGCTACTTGTTAAGAAACTAAATAGTAGCCAAGTAGCTGTAGCAACTTCTCTTGTTATATGATCAAGAGCTCAAGAACAGCGAGAAAGTATTTAAATTTTCAATGTAAATCAGGAAGGACAAAAGTTATTCACGATACACATTAGCTATTATGTCACAGAAACTAGGCGTGAGATGACTGATACCTTCTCGCAATTTTTACCACAAAAGTAGGTTGCTGGAAAAGGTTCTCTGCGTTTACTAATCTCTTGCAGACATACTCCATGATCTGTAAGACAAGTAAGAGTAATCAGCCATACTGGATATCCAACATAGCAGTTGCAACTGATGAACAGTGACATCAATCATGATACATCTCAGTGTCCTATGATCGAAGACAATTCAAACCAAGAATTTCCTTTGGATCTTTCATGTGATAAAAAAAATAACGCGGGAGAGGTGATTACATTTATGCACACACTGGGAACATTTGAAGTCCTGAGAGCGTTCAGCAGGAGCATTTTCACTAACCAACTCCCCGCATATCCAACATGTGCAGCTTGAGCAATACCAATTGCCTTCAGGGAGCACCTGAACAGAAAGAGCAAAAGTAATTTATAATACAGTTCTAGTACGGTAAGAAATCCTGGTTATTCTAATACCATGGAATTTACTGAAGTTGGCAAAATTTGTTTATAAATTATGCCCTGACACGAGCCACACGTTACCTTCATTGCTAAGCAAGCCTGATGGAAGGTAGATGGACAATTATCACAGCAGATCAGCTCACCCCCATCACCACAAATTCCACAAGAATCGTCATTTGGATCATCATCGGAAGCTGCCTCCGGTCTTGAACCATTTCGGGCTTTATACTCAGCATACCAAGCTTCCAGCTGACATGAAGCAAAAGGCTTTCCTGACTCCATGAATAGATTCAGACATGGACAGTTCTGGCTAAATCCAGCATGGATCTTGAACTCAGAAAGTGATATAGTCTTATTGCAACATGCACAGAGCACTCCATCTTTAGTTACCAGGCCTGTTTTCACCACAGTATCATCATCAGGATCTCGTAACTGGATTACTTCGTCCCTAGAAATCACGTTGGCAGCTATCAACCATGATAAGACAGTTCTAGGACCTAAAGTAGACCAATTTCCTTGTGAAAACTGTTTTTCCTCATTGCTAGTGCTTCGGGGAAGCAGCCTGCACCCTCCCTTGTTATTTCTTTTTTTCGTTCTAGCTTTTGATTTCTGTGCCTTCTTTTTCTGGCTTGATATGCCTTTGGTTTTGAAAAGGTCATCATCCTGATTACAGTGCTTTCTAGCTTTTTTCCTTCCCTTCTTTGAATTACCACATGAATTTTTCATCCTCTTATCATTCCTCAACCTTCCATCCCTATGTTCCTGGCATCCAAGGCTATCGGAAGAATCATAATCCAGTGTATCACGTTGGTCCAAGAGAGCTTGTTTGGCTTCAGAAATTTTTTTCGACCTTCTGTGTAACTTCTTTCTCATAACACTTTCATTCATGCCTTTTGCTATCAATTTTGAAGCTCCAGAGACCTTGCTAACCTCCTGCTCATCAAGCCCAGAAATTTCCGTACCAATACTGTTCTGCTTTTCTCGTCTTGAAGAAACTTTTCCAGGGGGAGTATTAGGTTTCCCCTCAAGATCCGAAATCTCTAGGTCAGATACTGTCAGCCCACTTTCGGGACAGCCTGAAAGCATGTTCTGACAAATTGCATCTTCTTTCTTAAACTTGTCAATAACTGAATTCCTTGCAACTTCAACTTTACATCCTCTTCTTAAAGAACCAACTTTCTTAGCAATGTAGACAACAGTCACAAAAGGCTCCAAGGCACTCCACCAAAGCGCCTGTGTGCTGGCAAGATCTAATGTTTTCATGTTCTCCTCAACGTCCAACAATGTAAGCGAGAGATCTGACCAAAAGTCATTGATACCGGTCCATTTCTTAGTACCTGTATCCATCAACTTATGATCCGCTAATAAGATCTCACCCAATGATCTCCAAGCTGACCCAAAGTCACGAAATCTCTGCCCCTCTGAAGATACGTATGTAGTGTCCAGGTATTTCCTACCTGCTCTTTGGATCTTCTCGACTTTCCATCTGGCAGAAGTTAGCAACTTACATACATACTTGTAGAGAAGAGGACGGGGGTCCTCTTTAGGATCAATCTTTAGACAAGTCTCAGGTATATTTAACTCATTAGGAGATACTTTAGATCCGTTCTTGAAAGACTTGTCACTATGAGGCGTAGATGCACCTGCACAGATCCCTCTTGTCGCGAAGCTCTCCTGAGAAACAGGAGACGCAATTGCTTTTAGTTCCTTTGCATCACATTTCTCCAAGTTTTGTGGCTTCCACTTTTCTGAGACAATGCCACACAGATAAACTTCTTTTCCCTTCTCAGTGCTTTGCTTCAGCAGATATGAGCTAGTGGAAACACCCTTGTTGGATGATTCGACCAAACGGAAAGGTATTGTTCCTCTAGCAAAATCCGAACCAATCAAAGGCGAGCTTTGTTCGTCCCTCGCATCCACATGCTTATCACCAGAAAGCTTGGCTCTTTTAGCTTTTTTGTTAAAGTCAGAACCATCTTTTGAAGCAGATGGCTCAGAAGCTTTACATCCACTTGTTACCACAGAGTTGTCATTGTTGGAACTCAGAGAGGAATTGACATTATTACTGGAATCGCATTCGAAGCTAATGACTCCAGTGACAAGACATCTTTTAGCATTACCAGTACCACTTCCAAAGAAAACTTGTCTGAATATCCGATGCTCCTCATAAGACCCCTCAAAGCAATCATCTTCTAACATGTCGATCTCAGCTTCTCGAAGCACCTTCACCTCAAAGTTAAGCAAAACGTCAAATTACCTGCAATTATAGAATGTAATAATGACAAATTAATAACCAGAAGTTTGTCAATTTCCTACTTGTGTTTGCATACGTATCCAAAAAGGACACAGATAAAGACAGGAAGCCACGTAGCAAAGGTAATTAAGGAGACTTGAAATGGAAATAAAAGGGCATCATGCTTCTCAGCCTGAGTAGTGTAAAGGCAAACGCAAGCATGAATTGTGCTCGAGATTCTTATCTTTTCACTATAATTGGTGGTTGATGAAACAAGAATCAAACAGGTGATTTTACATTTTTGGTTAAGGATGTAGAAAGAATGAAACTTTATATATAAGCCAGTCTACTTTAAACTTATCACCACTATACTAAAAACCCAAACTTTATGTATATGCTTCTACAGGAGAGAAGGAAATCGAAATCAGTCTCTCAAATCAAACAAAACCGAAGGAAAAAACAGCAAACCCACATGCCCATAAGCCTAATCTAGATTCGAACAAGCTAAAATCAGCGACCCAAAGAACAGGTTTTCAGATTTATATTTGGCTAATTAGAGCGGACGAGAGCTCAAAGAGAGAGAAATGCATGAGATTACCAGCATGCAGAAAGGATCAGAGCAGCAAAATTCGTGGATCAGTGCTTGAAATCGGAGATTTGGGTTCTTCGTCAAAGAGTACGAAATCTCACTGAAATGGCCTCATTCGCCGCCTCATCCTCTGAAAACACACTCAAACCCCGTTTTTCTCTCTCTATCTCAATCTCGCAAGTGGGAAACGCATTTTCATTTCATTTTCACGTTCTCTGCACTCACTCTCTCTCTCCTTGATACAGTGCTTCTGACTTTGTCTCTTCGATTTTAGCGTTTCTGTAATTCGGAAAAAAAAAAACCCAGCTGCGATTCGGTGTTAAATCCTTAAAAACCCGATCGATTGATCGATGGATTTTTCTGATTAACGGATTTTAGCTGTGAATCTGCAGCTTCATTTCCCCGTATCACTTTGTACAGTGTGTGTGCTTACCATTGGCTATCTATTCTCTCTCGTTTATTTTTCTTTTTTTCGATTTTACCTTTTTTCCGCTCTGTTTTGTGTGCTGTCTCCAAAAGGCATCTTCATTTTTCACCTTAATTTTTTTATGACAACGGAACGTACCAACGGTTATTTACTTAAGGACGATTAATTACACTAATTAAAACCCGATTTTCGTGTTACCCCACGACCATATCACTATATCGCAATTTCGTAAACCAAAATTCTGGAAAAGAAACCTTGCCAGGTTTTTGAACGTTTTCTAGTATTTATTCATTCAACTTAGTTTATTCTTTAGAAAAGAAAAACAGATGGATTAATCCGAATTTTTGTTCTTTACGACATTGTTAAGTGGATGCTTTGTAATTTGCGCGGGGGAATCTTTTACGTGTCTTAACATTACATGACATAGTTACATGCGATGATGGACGACCAGCTTTAGGTTATTAGTTTATCTAATTTTATATGTAGACAGACAGTTACATGTTTTCTGTTTCCATTAATAAACTATGAACAAGGACCTGGATTTTGAGATGTATGTGTTTCGTCGTTCGATTTTGACATAGGAGCCCGCTAAAAAGTACATGTGTTAATTTTGTTATTCAAAATCTGAGAATGAAAACGACGTTTCTTTTTTTTCTTTTGAGTTCAAACACATTTCTTGATCTAAAACCGTGCTTTTACCTAAATTGGAAATTTTAAGAATCAATATGAAGCGATCAAACATGGTTAAACAACACAAACATGTGACTTTTTGTCTAGTTTAATTTGGTCAATAAACGATATATACAAGTGGAGTTTGACATAAATATATCACTGTTTTATAATTTCTTGGATCGGATAAATAGTATTGATACTATGCGATACATTAAGTTGTTTATAATGTCTTGGAACGGATAAATGGATAACAAGAATCAAAGTTTCTTAATTTTAAGATCCGTACTTACATACTGACATTTGTCCTGAAAATTCAGCTTACAACACACATGCACACCTCAAGATGGTCGCTGATACTCTCCTCTCTGATATCACCGACTCTGTTTTCGACCTTATTGTGCTCCCCGTAAGTCTCTCCCCTTAATGGTTGTGTAACGAATCATTTTTGGATTTTTCAGTAGTGATTCTTGTTTCGAATGTTATTTGTCAAAGATTTAAAATTTGGCTTGCTGATTATTCATTTTGATGATATGATTTGGTAAAAGAGAGGGCTTCCCGGCGGCTAGACTCTAAAAAACTGTAAACCTCTAGAGAAATATGGTAAAGAAACAAGACACAGATGGACGACTTAAACTCTGCGATCTCCCTTCTAGGTGTTTTGTGTTCTGTTTTTACGTTTTCTTAAAACTTTGTCTATGAATTTTCTAATTTTCCATGTTTTAGAAAAATCGTTGATACAAATTCCTTTACAATATTTACTTTTACTAGGAGAGTACCCGCGCAATGTGCGGGATTATATTAGAATAATTGTTTAAATATTATTTTATTTAAAAAAAACATGAAAAAAAATATTAATCAACACAGCAAAAGTCCATGACAACTCAGTTTTTTAAACTTAGTGAAACTAACACCTCATTAAAATCGTCTAGTCAATAGAAACATCCCTAATATATTAAAAGAGAAAACACTAACTAAATAACCTTTGTCCATTGTGTTATTAACAAGAGTGCCACTGCTGATGTGTCATCACCAGGTTCACTCTCAGCCCAATTTCTAATTAAGACAAGCTTTACTAGAGAAATTACAAATTGTGCCATTGCATATTATGCTTACCATCCATTTATTATTATATTATTTCCTTAATTGACAATTACGAAAATAAGTAAATAAGGAAGATATGAAATTCAATTGAATTCTATCATAATAATTTTTTTAAAATCATTATATATCCCCTATCATCTTTGTTCAACTTTATTTTATAAAATAATATGAATCACAATATAAAAAACTAATAAAGAAAATCTAAAGCTTTTTCTGTATATGCTATGATTTGAATTTTTAAAAACAAAATAATCAATTGTTTAGTATATAATTCATTTAGTGTAACCTAGGTATTTAAAAGTAAATTATTTTTATTTATTTAATATGGTTTTTAATTAAATTCTATAATAAAATTGAATAAAAAAATTCTTTTTATAAATTTTTACTTTGATTAAAAATTTGAATATTATTCCATCTGTTTCAACTTCAATATAAAGTTAATTGTATTTTTGTTGTTTTAACAATTTAGATCATACATATTGTTTTCTTATTGGTTGAATTGTTTTGAAATTATAATAAAACATGTTTTAGTTTTGAAAGAAAGAGAAAAAATAGTTCTAATCCATGTCTTAGTTTTGAAAGAAAGAAAAAAAAATTGATTTTAATCCGTGTTTTAGTTTTAAAAGAAAAAAAAATAGTTCTAATATGTGTGCACACAGCTAAGACTTCTTATTTTATAAAATACAGTATAAATTTTTGTAAAGAATAATGTTTTATTTTCACTTTTTTTTTCTTTAAACTAACTTATTATACTGTAGTCATTTGAATTTCATATATCTCGCTTAAATCTATCATATTTAATATATGACTATGTTCAAGACTTTAATCTATTTACCTTTTTAAAAAATAATTTAAAATGCTTAATTTTCATATTATAAACGAATAAACGAAGGCAATAATCTAACAAAGATTAAAAATCCGTCGCATAAAATTTTGAGATATTTAAATAAATATTTTTTAATAAATTACCAAAAAACATCTTTTAATAAAAATACAAATTCGGAAACCATCACTCCGTGCTGGGCGCGGGTCAATCCCTAGTTTTATTTAATCTTAGTCAGCAACTTTTCTGGTTTAGCTGGCCACGTTTTGACCCGATTTTGATTTATAGATTTTCTTCAACCGGACCGGTTACGTTGTCAAATTTTCTTCTTCTATCTTTTGAGATTTCTTCTCCGACTCTTCCGACGCCGCCCTTTTTGATTTACCTCCTTGTAGATACATACCAGATCCTGGTTTCGCTTAGGACGAAGCTCCGGTAAATACAATATCGAGTTAGTAGTAACCAGGTATTAATCTCACCTCCGATTCCGACTTCTCTATCTTCTTCCACCGATTGTTTTGTATGATACGACGAAGCATCGAGTTCTTCTTCTTCAACCGATCGAGTTCTTCTTCTTCACGGGCTCCATATAATATCGACGCTCTATCTTTCTTTTTTTCCGATTTGAGATTTGTTTTCTTCCTGTCATGTTTATCTGTTGAGATTTAAGTTTTCCGATTCTTTAAATGTTGTTACTTCGTTAAACGGAAGATCATATGTTTTTGTGTTGTCGTGGATTTGGTAGGAGCGGATTTAGCAGCAATTTCAAGCTCATATATTTGCGGTGATAAGTGGTTTCCATCAATTTGTGCTAATGTAAACCACCGGAAAAATGAAGAAGCATTCGGAGGAAGAAAAGGCGGTGGCTTAAATAACAAATCGGTTTCGAAATCGATCAGAGCCGGTTTCCAGTTTCCGGTGAACCATTCGTTCTTGAAGAAAGGACCCAAAGCTGGGTATTGGAGCTCCGGTTTTCATGGCCACCTTTCTCGAGCATCTCGCCGCCAAAGTAAGTTTCTCGATTCTCTTTTTCTTCAGTTCTGAATTTTTATCGTGAAATCACTTTCTCATAATCAGGTATGGATTGTGACAGTCTCCGTTTGCAAATTAAGTTTAGCAGGAAAAGAGATAAGAAAAGGGAAATTGGAAGTTTAGTACCTGCAGCAGCTTAAGTGTCCAGAAGCAGAGTAAAGTGCAAGTCCTTCTCTTATTCATGCTGTAATGTTTTTCATTGCTGCGTTCTATTGTTGTAATAGAGTTCATGTGACTGCAAGCATGATCATATATTTCAAGTATTTGTTGTTAGTTGAAAGTTCTTTCTCATCTACATGTCTTCTTCACATATGCTATGGTTTTATCTAATGTTAAAAGCAATAAGCCAATAACTCCCTTTATTAGCTTAATTACTTACTGGAAAATTTTCCATCCCTCCATATGTTTTCCTTCCTCTGCTTAAGAGCACACTGAGATCTGACTTCCATGTTGCGGCAAAAAACTGTTGGGTTAAGGACGGAGGTGCTTTCACTGGTGAAGTGAGATGAGAGTCTCGCCACTGATGCCTACTATGGAGACTTTGATTGTTTCTTTGAATAAATAAAGCAAGTGGAGACTTTGATTGTTTCTTTGAATAAATAAAGCAAGTGAGTTTGGTGTCATAAACGAAACAAAACTAAGAAGCTAATGAAATAAAGAGGATTTAGCCGCAGTTTCTTCTAAAATTTAGGTTTGTATTGTACGTCTAAACATCAGCAACATATGATAAATCCTTAATCTTGAATCTTGCGATTGTGTAAATATGAGTGACACCTTATTTCTTAATTTGTGATTGTTTTTTTAAATATGATGCTCTGTTTGAGAAATCCTTAATCTAATATCTTACTGCTCGATGGACAAACCTATTATCGGGTAATCAAAAGCAGTAACGAAGGCTGAGATGTAATACAACGAAAGATCATGTATATTGTTGTGAAACTAATTAATTAATAAAATAAAAAGAAGGTGGAGCCCATAAGAAAGGAGAGAGAGACGAGAGATGAGAGATTATAGAGAGAGAAAGATGTTTCTCTTCTTCTCAATTGATCGTGTTCAAACTTACAACATGAAGTACTATTTATACTTATTAAATAATAATAAACAACTAAAATATCTATTACTTCAACATGAAGTAAATCATATTATATTCTTAATGGATAAACATGTATTATAACATTTCCCTTTGATTATCCATTATTTGAAGTTGTTTACAATCTCGTTAAAAAAAACCCCAATGAGATAAAAATCATGAAAAGGAAAAAGAGTACCGCAACGCAAACTCCCCTGAAAAATAGATATGATCTTCTCTTCACAAATCTTGAAGACGACGCATTCCAATACTTTGAACATGCTTCTTGAACACTGTAGTAGGAAGCGCCTTTGTGAAAAGATCAGCTGCATTGTCACTTGAGCGAACATACTGAATATCCACTTCTTGATTCTTCTCGAGTTCTTGAGTGTAGAGAAAAATCTTGGAGGGATGTGTTTTGTCCTGTCGCTCTTGATATAGCCTTCTTTGAGTTGAGTGACACATGCAGAATTGTCTTCGTAGATTGTTGTTGGCTCTTTCTTTGTAGATACTCCGCTGGCTTCTTGTATATGTTGGATCAAAGATCTCAACCATACACTCTCTACATGCTTCATGAAGCAATGATTTCCGCATAATTTGAAGACGTTGCAACCAAAGTTTGTTTTTGGGAACGCCAGAGATCGCGGTTCCACCGTATGTGAAAACATAACCGGTTTGCGATCGAGCTTATGCGGATCAGACAAGTAGCCAGCATCTGCAAAACCAACTAAACCAACCTCGGGGTTTCTAGAATAATATAATCCAAACTCAATCGTACCTTGAAGATAACGGAATATATGTTTTATTCCGTTCCAATGTCTTCTGGTAGGCGATGAGCTGTATCTTGCAAGCAGATTAGTAGCAAAAGCTATATCTGATCTAGTGCAATTTGCAAGATACATAAGTGCCCCGATGGCGCTCATAAGGTACTTCAGGACCTAACATTTCTTTCAGAATCTTCAATAGGTCGAAATGGATCCTTGTTAACATCAAGCGATCTATTGACCATTGAACTATAGTCCGTTTATTGAGAGAGAATATTTCATTCTTCATGGCCATTTGCCATTTCTCCCAGTCCGGCCTCTTTTGGCACTCTGACACGGAAGTTGGATCTGGATCATCATTTTCATGATCGATCTCTTTAGCTACAGAAAAAGAGAACATTCCATCATCATCTATTTCACTTCTAGCCCATATTTTTCCACTTTGGGCGAAGGAGATGGAAATCTCAAATTTTTCTGTCTCTGGTTCGTCATCTTGACGAACCTCTTTATCAGGTTCTACAAGAACCTGTTCGGAAATGTCTTCAAGACATTTCGGTTCATCAGGAACCTTTACTCCACAATTCTTTTTCTTTCGGGGATTTTATCCTTTGATCCTATAGCCTCCCGCGCTTTAATTGAACCGGTTCACTTGCTCTATTCACATCAAAATGTTCATGAGGAACTTCTATTTTTGATGGAGCATTAGCAGCGGGGATATAGGACTTCGTCACCCTTTTCGTATCTGTGAACTCGTGGCAACTGGTTAGCCAATCTTTGCATATATATAATTTTCTGAACTTCCACCTCGCGTTGATTAGAAGGAGGATCAAGATAAGCCAAAGAGTGTGTACACCATTTGGTGATATCATTTGGTGATTCTCTCGACCCTCCCCCTAACGCAGGGAATTCATTTTCATCAAAGTGGCTATCGGCAAATTGTGCCGTAAACATATCACCAGTTGCCGGTTCAAGATACCTTATTATACTAGGGGACGAATACCCGACATATATTCCCAATCTCCTCTGTGGTCCCATTTTTGATCTCTGTGGTGGCGCTATTGGGATATAGACCGCACACCCGAATACCCGGAGATGGGATATATTTGGCATATTTCCAAATGCCAACTGTATGGGCGAAAATTCATTATAAGCACTTGGTCTCACTTGAACCAAGGCTCCCGCATGCAATATTGCATGTCCCCATACAGTGATTGGGAGTTTTGTTCTCAAGATTAACGGTCTTGCAATTAACTGCAACCGCTTTATTAATGACTCAGCCATGCCATTTTGCGTATGAACGTGCGGAACCGGATGTTCAACATCGATTCCCACAGACATACAAAAGTCATTAAAGGCTGCTGAAGTGAATTCACCAGCATTATCAAGCCTGACTTTCTTTATGGCATAATCAGGGAAATGCGCTCTCAACCTGATTATTTGGGCAATGAATCTTGCGAAAGCCATATTTCTTGTGGTCAAAAGACACACATTTGACCATCTACTAGATGCGTCAATCAATACCATAAAGTATCGAAATGGCCCGCACGGTGGGTTAATAGGCCCACATATATCACCATGTATTCTCTCTAAGAATACAGGGGATTCATTCCCAACTTTGGCTGGCGAGGGCCTAATTATGAGTTTTCCTTGAGAACATGCTTTACATGAAAACTCCCCCGATTGAAAAATCTTTTCATTTTTCAATGGGTGGCCACTCGTATTTTGCACAATTCTTCTCATCATGACTGAACCTGGGTGGCCAAGTCTTTCATGCCACACCCTAAAAGTGCTAGTAAACATCTGGTTTACTGCAACATAAGATTCAGTCATGTTGATTTTTGTGCAATATAAACCAGAGGACATCATTGGTAATTCTTCCAATGTTTGTTTCCTCTCCGTTGTAATGCAAAGATATTCAATGCCATTTTTGTTTATAGTCTCAATATGATATCCATTTTTGCGGATATCTCGGAAACTTAATAAGTTCCGGTGAGACTCCGGGGAATATAGTGCATCTCGCACTTCAAATTTCGTTCCCCTTGGCAATGAAAAACTTGCACTCCCAGAGCCAAGTATTATTTTTGCACTACCGCATATAGTACTCACGCTTTCAGCGGAGTCTTTCATTTTGAGATAGGAGAAATACTTCTTATCTTTGAGTATTGTATGTGTCGTAGCACTGTCTGCTAGACAAGTATCTCCATCCTTAATCTCAAATTGTGGCACCATCAGGGCCACTGAATTCTTTTGAAAACTTTAAACAGAATAACAAAATTGAAAGCATAAATTGAAAGACAGAAATTTAGATCTGGGAGGAGACATAGTCATCAACTCCGCTACATAGAGGAGGTTTTCACCATCAACTCCGGAGGAGGATTTCCCTACCACTCCATATATATGATCTGAGGAGACATAGTCTACCATGTGATCATTTGCTCGGAGTAGGCAGAGCCTAGCTTCCCGGCTTTAATTTATTTGATCGAGGAGGCAGAGCCATCCATGACGATCAGCTCGGAGTAGGCAGAGCCTAGCTTCCCGGCTTTAAGAGATTTATTTGATCGAGGAGGCAGAGCCATCCATGACGATCAGCTCGGAGTAGGCAGAGCCTAACTTCCGGCAGAATAGACAAAATATAATTTTAAATAAATTTGGACAGAATTTAGGCTTACCTCTACGAATAAGATAGATCTAGACAGATCTAGTATAGAGCAATCGTGCTGATAACGTGTTGTAAATTAATTAATTAATAAAATAAAAAGAAGATGGAGCCCATAAGAAAGGAGAGAGAGACGAGAGATGAGAGATTATAGAGAGAGATGTTTCTCTTCTTCTCAATTGATCGTGTTCAAACTTACAACATGAAGCACTATTTATACTTATCAAATAATAATAAACAACTAAAATATCTATTACTTCAACATGAAGTAAATTATATTATATTTCTAATGGATAAACATGTATTATAACATATATGTGTTTTTATATTGATTCTTCTACTTATAGTGGTCGTCTGGTCGATGAGTTCGTGAAAATTAGAGTTTTTGATATAAAAATGTATATGGTATCGAGTATCGACATTTACCACAAAATAAGAAAACTTGTAAACTATAGAAATCAAACTAAATAGCATTCTATTAAGTAATTCGTTTAAATATTTTTTTAAAATATTTTATCTCAGAAGTATAATAAATATAGTTTATCTTATCAATATTATTTATTTATATATATAAATGACAATGAAATTGGAATTTGACAATAAACGTTGAATAGACAGGAAGCATAATAAATAGCAATTTACAAAAAAAAAATTATAAATTTGGCATAACTTATTTCCAAAATAAAATAAAAAACAAAAAAATTGTTTTAGTTATATAAAATATTGCGGGTTTAGATCAGGTATTAGAGGTAAAGGTCGGTAGAATAATAAATACTTTTACCCAAAAGTTATCCGTGAAATAAAAATTGGATATTAGTGGGTAAAGTTTGGATATAGACAAAATCATGTAGTTATAATCTAAATGGTTATTTTCATAATTAAAAATTTAAACAGATGGATGTAATTGTTAAGATCGGTAGGGTATAAAAAAACAATTACCCAAAATCCATGAAATAAAAGTTAGATATTAGCGGTAGTGGGTAAGGTTCAGATACATATAAAATCATGTAACTATAATCCAAAATCTTCCAATCAAAAACCATAAAAACAACAATGTGTATAACCAACTTATTGGGTCTGGGCATTACTCTAAATTGTTTTTACATCATGTAAAATTAATATAAGGAAAACAAATTAAAATATCAAAATGTAATATGAATAATTTAATCATTTATAACACGGAAAAAAAATTACAAAAACCTCCCGCTGCGAAGCGCGGGTATCCTACCTAGTACTTATAATATTATCAATAACACTGGTAGGCCTGTGACTTATAACCCCTATCTGAATACCCGACCCGAAATACCTTCCAGGAGACCCACTATTTTACCTTTCTTAGTCATAGTTTTGTCATATATAAGTTTGTTTTAAACATCTTGCCAAGTAAGAGTTTTTTTTTTTTTTTGCTTTACGATATCAATACTTTGAGGTTCAAGTTAGATTTTGGTTTATAATGTCAATAACATCTTATTTCAACGAATTCACAAAACGTGAATGGAGTTTGTATATTTATAAAAGAAACAGTTTGAATAAACAAATAATACAAATAAAAATGCATTGCTTGAATGCTGAAGGTGAGAAGAGAGAAAGATATCTATGATTATAGGTGTGAACCCGCGAATGGACAAGTTTCCGAAAAGGAAAATTGTGAACCCGCGAATGGGGAGAGATTTCAATGTGATATATGGTATATATGGTCCATACGCAGGAGCCAGGAGGCGTACAATGATGGTTTCCTCGGTGGGGCCAATGACCAAATCTTCGAAGGAGCGGCACCGCGGTGGTGTAGAGGGAGGGTAACCTGAAACCATGATGAAAGACGGCGAAAGTGGGTGAAACCAAAGAGCGCCGAAGGCAGCGGATCTCTTTTTCTCTCTATCTTGAAAATAAAGAATGATGTCCGATTAAAACTGGCTTATTGAGGGAAAAAGTGTGATAGAATTTGCTGTCACTAAGACTTGCAGTAGCACTTCATCCCGATCACTCTTCTTCTGGGTCAAATATGAACCGATCTCCACACTTCGGCTAAACTCACTGGATTCACCTTCCATAAAGCTGATGATCCTTCTTCTCTTAATATCGTCTTTATGCAATCCGAAACTCCTTTATACTGATTTCCTGCGCCCTAAAAAAGATTTGATGTAGCTTTTACTGTTTGGCAATCTTAAACAATGCCATTCGTTGAGCTACAAACTTTAAATAGTAAAGCAATAGAATCATAAATCCTAAAGTGGAGGCGTCAGTAACATACGACTCCAATAGATAAACAATTTAAGTGAAGACTAAAATCGAAACCTGACATCTTTCATTGTTTTGGAATATAATAATTGTGACTTTGCTTGAATGGAACCTGATTGCCGCACGAAGAATTAATGTCTGTAAAATACATGTGTGCAAATATAAATGAAAACAAAACTTCAAACTTGGTACAGTTTCAAAATAGCTTTAGTCTAAAAAAGTGAGGATAACAGTTAAACATTATGGAGCTTACAAAATATATGAACATGGCCGATGAAGATGACATAATGTGGAAATAGACCATCAGCGTCATCTAAGAAAAAGGAACGAAAGATCCATAGCTCTAATGTCTTTCTAGTGTGCCGTAATTGCTAAATATTTGTATCAGACTAAGGAACATGTGAAATAGTACTTGAAGCTGGGAAGAAAGATATTCATATGAATTATGTGTCCTCTATTCGCATCTCGCATTTGAGTTATTTTTTTAACAAATACTATTACTAGGAAGACACTATAAAGATTCACCGGATGATTCTCCTTTGTTCACCTCTCCTCTTGATCCGGAACTACCACTTGACTACTCCACCACCGAACTGAACCCTTATATGTGAGAAACATGATTAAACATATTCACCGATTTGAGAATCCCATATTCTATCTATACAAAACCAAAGACAGAAACAACACATGTATACCAATGCCATGAGGATTTCGAAGCAATTGATAGAACTCAAGATGAGACCAAAAAAAAAAATTAGCATAGAAAGAATATGTAATCAAAGAAAGCTTATCCTAATAAGACTTGCAAACAGATCAATCATCTTTAATCACCTCAGTCTCGCCACCCAGATTATTCCCGGATATCCTCCTTCTCCTTGGTTGTTTTCTTCACCTCTTCTTCTTGAACTGATCTGAGAAAGAATGTTGAAACAAAAACCTAATTCAAAACCACCATCGTTGATGATACACAGAAAACAACAAAACAGAAGCTTATGCATCTAAATCTACGGTTTGATATCTGAATTTGACAGTACACAATGAATCGTTGATGATGAAGCTATGAAATCATAGAACTATAGAAGCAGAAGAGTCAGAGAATTACGTTTTTGTTGGTAAGACAGAGGACAAAGTTTTGAAATGTAGAATGTGATAGAGATAACAGGAAGAAGGGGAGTGGCCATTGCTCAACCCAAATATGGAATCAGATCTTTCTCACTTTCTCCACCCTACTTATCCAATTTTTTGGAGATTAATCTAAATTCAATGGAAAGGAATTGGCATATTTTTCCAGAGATTAGGTTGATAACAAACTGGATTTAGATTTTGGATACCTTACTGCTACGTGAGGACGACGGTCCTGCTATAATACTTCTGGCCTTGTCGATCTTCTTCTCCTCTTTAGATCTAGACAAACCCGTACTCGCCGTAGGGTTCACCGACTGACTGAATTTTTAAAAGAGAGGCAATGAGGACCAGAGAGTTAGATTTAAGAAGAGAGGAAATGAAGCTTCGGAGTGGATTTGATTTCAAGGTAAATATGAAGAGTTTGAGTAATATGAATCATCGTTACAATCAAGTGAGACATTGGGAGCGTCTCATAAACGTAGAAGAGATGGAAGGTTTCATGTGAAAGAAGCTTACATAAGTTAAGAAGAGATTGCTGACACCTTCGATTTGCTCGACAACCTTGAAAGTGACGGGCTTGCCAAACGAAGATATCGCTTTGGAAGACATCGGGTGAGTCGGAACAGAGGAGTCGACTTGTTTAGGGAGGAAAAAACTTCGGTGGTGAGGATTAGTCGGATATTGCGGACTGAAATGTTCCCAGATTTATATGGTGGAAAGAGAGAGAGGTGGAGCCGAATCAGCCATTAAAGCCATAAATTTCATGTATTAAGTGGGCGCTTGTAACAGGAAATTAGTAACGATAGATCCTAAACTAGAGATTCAATGAAGAACCCGAAGAATAGGGAAAATCAGTCTGAAAGATGATCGAGATTGAAGAAAGATCACCTCAAAGGGTCTGAAATCCAAAGATGAACAACGTTCGTTTGAGAGAAAGAGACAAGATTGTAAAAGAGGAAAATGATTTCTGATTATTCGTCACTAACGGCTTCTTGGCCTTACATAAGCGTTTCCCAAAAGGGTAAAAGACAAAATAAAGTAAAGTGCTACCCGAAATGATGGGACAAACCATCTAAAATCGGTGTTTGGATATGGATAGAGTAAACCGGGTGTAACCGGATAAGATTTTCCCATAGCAGCGCTGCAGATGAGAAACCTCAGGAATAAGAAGGAGAAGAAACGATCGGTGTTCTGTAACAAAGGTTAGAAGAAGATGAGAGAAGGGGAAGAAGAATCGGTTCTGATTCATCGAGGAAAGGACGACGCGTTCTTGTATAATATTTGGGCCTATCAAAAAATGGGGGAGGATTGTGATGGGCCTGGGAGTCGACTGAAACAATTTAGTCGCCATTTATTAACCCTAATAGCAAAAACTACGTCGTTTTTGGTTTAATCTGTGGAAGATAAAAAATAGGAAAGACGCAGAACGACGTCGGTGAAAAAAAAAGTGTCACGTGTTCCCAACTGGAGAGTGTCCAAGTCCAAAGGCTTATTAGTTATGTAGATTTTTAATAATTTTCTTTTATTATTATATAAAACTAGATTAAAACCCGCGCGACGCGCGGGTAGTATTGTTATTTTTTATATATATAATTTTATTTTGCAATGTTCTGAAAACAATTTTTCTTCTTTTTTTTCTTTTAAATATGACATTTTCTCTTTTACTTTAAACTCTAACTCGACAAAAAACCGTAATCGAACCCGAACCAAATCCGACTACTGCTCCACCGGAGTTCCCGCGGTTGCCAAGACGACCGCATCAAGCTTGAATTCGATGAAGATTCTCGATTCCTCAGAAGGCCTTGGAGGCTTTATCATCACTCGAATGTTGCGGATAACCGAGGCATTGCAGTCCTTTTCCCCTCTCTGATTCGGTTTCTTAGTGAGGCTCATCTTTGTGATTGAAGAATTTATGTGTCTTGTCTTGCAATGTGGTGAATTTTATTGACTTTCCAACCCAAAATTCACTCTGCTAAGACACGAATTTACATTTTACATATAACGCAAAACTAAAAGTAGCAAACGGTACATATATCAATAAGATACGTATTACCGTATAAGGAATGTATAAGAATTAAAGAAGATAGTAAGTAGTCGAGCAAAGATTTTTTTTTTTAAATGTAAAATGTAACTTCGTTGAACATACTCAAAGCAGAATATCAAATGTTAAATTTTTTTTTGTAGCAGGAAAAGTTAGAATGTTTACATGTGATGATAAAATGCTCACTTTATAGTCCTACCAATCAAACACATAAGCATGCCCAAAAACTAAGTAATATTGGAAAAGAGACGCATTTGTTTTTCTTGTTAGAAATGCCACTGAGAGTTCCCAAGGATAATGTATTTGACCAAAATATCATTAACAGTCTTTAGGAATCCAAATCAAATAAAGCTCTATGTCTGCATACCACAGGAACCGGAGATTTAGACTAATTGAGGTAATAAGCATCAATCGACAAATAGTGGATCTTTCACAAACCATAACTCAACTACATAAAATGAAGCAAGAATCTTAACAGGTTTCAACTGACCCGAGCATAAATCACCATCATTAGCACATAAGAGACGGATCCAATCGTTACCTTCTGAAGAAGCCTTCTCTTCGGCGACTTATTGATACTTTTGCAGGCAACAAAAACTAATCTTCTTGTTGTTCCTTCCCTTATACACAGTCCGATTTGAACAAAAAGAAAACACAAACTAATTTCCGAAACTAAGATTTTAGGGGAATTGTTCTGGTTGAATAACTTCTACTGCACCATCGATGAGAGAAAAAGATATAGTCTCATCGAGAGGTGTTGATAGTACCAAAAACCCTTTATGACATGGTTGAAAAGATTTAGATCAAAAAGTAAAAAGAGTAGAGAAAAATGCAAAAGCAAAGGATACAGGTGAGGACTTTAACGGATCATCAATGGTCGGTGACAGAAGAATACATAGAAAGCTTTTTCCTGCAGAGCATAAAAGAATTTGAAAAAGTTTAAGAAAAATAATTTAGACAGAGACTACCATAATAAGTTTATAAGAAACGATGCAACAAAGAGCCAAAACAGAAGTGGTTCACGGATCTCACTCTGTTCTCAACTGATCCCGCTCTTTCCGCCTAATAGCTAATATCAGTTCTTAAATTAGTGACTCTTGAGATGAAAGATGAAAGATCTTTTGCTTTGAAGATGAAAGATCCGGTGAAGCATATGTTGTGTCTGCAACTAAATCATCATGCGACCACATTAGCATAATTAAACAACAAACAGTATACACATTACTCTCATTAATTAATTCCATATATATCTATTTGAAAGAGCTAATAATTATATGACCTTTGTATACGAACTTGTTTGAGAGCCATCTCGTTGACGATCAAGTGAATCTACCTCCTCCGAACTCTTTTCCAATACGATTTCTGCACCAACAAAGACAACACACAAATATGAATCTATATGCATGCAAATATATAACTGACAAAACATGAAATTGGAATGCATTCTTGGATAGTAGAAGGTAGCGTATTGCCTACTACTTATGCTGGACCCTGTTTTTTGGCCACTGACGATGTTTTTTCTTGCTCGAGTATGCCACAGGTCTGCCACGTTTCTCTTGGTCTCCTTCGTGATATAGTCTCCTGTTTGCACATTCGAAGAGCAGAGTGATATACTGTAAGTTTTATTTTTGGCAATGAGTAAAGTGACTGTTATTTCTTGGAGTTGTATGAATACCATAAACATTTATTCTTGACGACAATGTCTATGGTCTTTCACTGGGCTAACAAGAACATCTCTCTAGTCTTTCTACAATTACACAATCTGAAAAGTAAGAGTCATGGTTTCACGTTTGTTGTGATTTGTGAGCAAAATTTTAATCATCGGAAGGTAAAGATGACTAAGAAGAAGGGGATCGTTCGTCACTTACTGTTTCTAGAAGTGCAGCTTCAGTGAGCTTGTGGCTGCCTTTAATAGTGGCAGAGTCGTTTTGAGCAGCACCAACACTGTGTCTTTCAAACTCTTTCCATGTAAAATCAGCAAATTCTGTATATAGATTCATAAACATAATCAATATTTAAGCTTCTCAACCATCAAGCCTGAAACCATTACCACATGGAACGAAATTTCACTTGCGAGGTTCATTTTCAAAGCAAACAATCATTTCCCTTGGCAAGTTTCTATCTAGTTGTAAAAACTATTTAAAACTCTAAACCATTAACAATCCTCAAGTATATGTGAATTGAGGGAAATCTCAAATCAAGCTTTTGATATTCTCATATAAGGAAATAGACTTACGATTAACAGAGAGTCTGTCAGGTAAGTTCTCCTTGAAAACCGAGAACGGAAGCTTTAACTCCTCTGCGCTTTGATACGCATCCCATATCTTCATCACCCAAAACGTTTTTCATCCCAAATTGCAAATTGAATTTGTTGAAATTCATCAACGGAGATTTACCGGTGAGCGAAGCGAGAATATGAGAGAACATGAGGGGACTGGGAAGGATTGCTAAGTCATTTAAATTGTTAGGTCGGAGTATATCGGAGAAGACAGATGCGATGTCTCATGTGAGAAAAAAGGAGCTGTGGAGAAGAAGGAATCGACGATTTAGAGGAATGAGGGAGGGTGTAACGCTTGTTCAGGGAAGAAGAATGAATCGCGCTTTCAGATTCAGTTTTTGTTTTAGTTTTTCTTCTAAATTATGTGAGAGTGACACGTGGTGCTAACGTATTGATCAGCAGCTGGAGAGAGATGACCTCTTATTATATATAAGATGAATTCTCCATTTTTTGGTTCAAGAGTTAGTTTTGTCACATTTTGAGTTTATCATCATTGTAAAATTAGAAATTCATTATCTTCATCTTTGAAATGCAAATATAAATATTCATAAATGAGACTTTTTGCCACTATTTTTCAAAAATTTTAAATTAATCTCATTAAAATCAATTTCGTCGAAATCATAAATCCCTATATCTCTTTTATCACCCTCGACCCTACATAAAGCTGGTAAAACATAAAATTACGCTACCAAAAGATATATAAAACTTGAAGGTCACATGTTACTAAATGTTCTTTTAGCTTATTGGCAGCTCTTCATTCTTCTTAATGTGGATGGTTTGAAACTTCCCAACAACAACAACAAACTTTTCAATCTATCATTATTTTTGATTTAATAATTAAATAAATTTACTGAAAATATAATATATTTTAAAATTTGAGGCCACCAAGAACCTCGGGCTGACCATGATCACCCAATTTCTCATCTGCTAAATTAAAATGCACACTACCAAACATTTCGATTCAGAATATTAGAAGAGATTGCATGTCTTTGAAAGTCATGATTCATACCAAATCCTCTTAGCCTTAAATCTTTCTATAATTTCCAAACATCCATTAGTTACACTTAATTAGCTTCATGTTTCATCACCGAAATATCAAATTTCTTGTTTTGGCATATACTTGAATTCAGCTAGTGGTTGTTCATGCTGATCCATTTTCCGGTTATTCAATAGCTTTCCAATAACTATAAATAATTACAGTTTTTATTTTCTACTAATCTTAAAGACAAAATATTATTTTTATTATAACCCCTAATATATTAAAAGAGAAGACAAATATAAAAAAACATTTCATTCATGTGTTATTATCAAAAATGACATGCTGATATGTTATCACATGGTTTATTTTCAATGCATTTTTTACTTAAGGCATTATTTACTAAACTATTTATATACTACTAGGGGTTATCCCACGCTACGCGTGGGTTTTTTTTAAGATAATTTTGTTACCTAAACTTAATTATATGAAGAATATATTTTGATGAATATGTTTTTAGAAAAAGATTGCAAAATCATTAAGAATACAACATGTGTAGAAACAGAACCGGTTTTGAGCTTTTATCCATACAAAAAAATGGTTTTCAGCTTTTATCCCAAAAAAAAGGTTTCGAGCTACTATTGTTTAACTGTTTTGAATGTACACTTTGGAAGTTTTATTTTGAAAAGTATCAACAATACTCCCTCCGCCCCAGTTATAAAGGAGGGAATTTGTTAAAAGGCACGATAACATAGAAAACACAGTTGTAAACACAAAAAGTAATATATTTTAGAAATGTGAAAAAGTACATTTATAAAGCATGTTGAATTGTTGATGATGAAAGAAGATAAAAATTATTGATTTAAAACGTAGATGCTGTCTATACTTGTATTATATGTCAAACCTTGAAACTATGAACAAACAAAATGACAGAAAAATGTAAAAGGAAAATAGGAAAAAGAAAAAAATTTCTTTGGCAGCTAACAAACCATCCTTACTTTGAATACCATTTCAATCCATTGAGGTTTGAAAGACCTAACAATATATCTTCCTTGTCAACATTGGTTTGTGAAAGACATTTCATGAGTATTTTTTATTGACTATCTTCAAGTTCAGCTTCTTCACCAAAGAAATCGTCAATTTGCTTATTTAGCTACTCATATTCCTCCAAATCTTCTACTTCATTCTCTGTCAATCTGAGGCGATAATCATCACTCTCCCTCCCTCCAGCCTCCATATCATTGCATTAAAACTTGTCCCAGTTCCTTCGGCTTCTCAGCAAAAGTCTGAATCCTCTCCTTGTCTTTAAAATGTTACCAAATATAGATAAGAAACTGAAATTTAAGTCGTAAATAGAAGCAAATCAATATCAGCAAATAGCCAAATGGTACAATTCAGAAGAACTTTAAAAATCTCCTCATCTAATGCAAACGTAGAGTTACCATTTTGTTTAAGAAACACGGACACAAAGATCATACGAATCACAAAGACAACCATGTAGCTAAAAAATGTGAAAACTCACAACATGAGGACTTCATGAAAGCTTGGTGTTAACATATAAATTAAGAAAGTGTGTTCTTTATGTTTTTGTCCAAACCTGGAGATAGCGCTGCGGATTATCATTCATAGCTCCTGGAAAATAGAAGCTGCGGTTCAACGACAACATAGACTGGTGATAAGATTTTGGGCACCATCTTTGTAAAGAGTCTCTACTACACAATAGGCACGGCTGTTTCGAGCATTCTAAACAAATGTGTATGAATGGGGTTATATGAGTCTATGATAACTTACGTCACTCAATAAACCCAAAGCCTTTGCATTCGTTGCTGGTCTCAAAATTTCCCTGTAGTAGAAAACAGTTTGCCAGTTTAAAAGAGAAGAAATAATCAGGTCTCGATTGAGAATGTTATAGTGATTGAACCTTCTTCAAACCATAAAACTTTTGAAACTCACGATAAAGTTTTCCTTCTCCAGGGGAGATGTATAAATGGAAGAACTAAGAAGAAACTGATGTCTCGGCAACATGTAAGAGCTCTAAACATTCTCTCATTCTCTCCAACACTCAGCACCATGCCTGGACAAAATTTCGAAAGTCGATGGAACTTACAACGTTTTAAAAAGTATATTCGAATCTAGACTGAATCAGAGTAAGTCTAAGGAGGAACCAGCTTCACAGATGGAATATTTCATTTACCTTTTGGAGAATAAGGGTGACGGAGCCCTCCAGAAACTCCAGAAGCCACACCTCCTAGGTCAGTTAACACAGTTCCCACATCCTTTGGAGAGTCTTGTAAACCAAAAAGAATCAAAACTTTCTTTGTTAGTCGCCAAAATTTTAAACTCAGAAGCAGTTTTCACAACAATTTTGGATTAAGTCATTTTGAATGGACATAATGAAGCTGAGATTCAGGGATACAATGAAAGAAATAACTTAAGACAAAAACCTGAAAGCTATTGATGACTTTTATAAAAACTCTTCTAAGAACCAACCAGGAAAACTGAAAAACTCCTCAAAGATCAGAATGTTGATAGTTAAAACTTCGATAGCTAAGAAGAAATAAAACCAAAACCAAATTGCAGGAGATGTTTGGAATCTAATTCTAGGCGAAATTGCAGGAGAGAACATATTGAGTACAAAACATTGATGTAAACAATGCCAGTTAGCATAGACAGAAAGACACAACATACCTCCAAAGTCTGACGGTTAATAATTGGATTTCTAATAGAATTTTGGAGGTTGATTGAGAAGCTGGATCAGCTTGTTTCCTGAAAACCATTCACACTACTTTGGTACATTTCAAAGCCAGAGAATCAAAGCCAGATGAAAACATTTGTTGTGTCGTACCTGATCTATGGTCACTATGTGAATTGCCTGTCTCCAAAGAACATGTTTATGGAGTTAGCTCACCCTCTCCATCCTTACACCTAATGAATTTTTTTAAAAACCCAAATGAGGATAGCATTCATGTACCTGAAACTTTGAATCATTGAAATTGTAAACTAAACCAACAGTAAGTCACATTAACTAAAACGTAGCAGTAACAAATCGGACGTGGCTTCCATGCTTACCATGTCCTGACAGTAGCAAATACGACCAGTAAAATCGATAACTAAAATTGTTGAAATTCTATCGTTCGGGAGACCTTTTAGGATATTTCATTGCTGCTAAGATGTTATAACCGATCTCTTGCTGGATTGATAAACAGCAAATGAGTGATATAACAGTTCCAACAATTAAATAACCTTGGATTTGGTCGAGGACCTGGAAAGTGAGCGGCTTGGCAGAGGAAGAAAGAGCTATGGAGGCCATCGCTAGATTGGGCAAAGACGAATTCAGGGTTGAGGGAGAAAGAGCTTTTCAGATTTGGATGAATTTCGTGGGTTGGATGGCTGAGGGATTTATAGGATTGCAGAGAGAGAAGTTCAACAGAAGCAGCCATAAATTCGAAAATTTGAGTGGGCATTGGAGATGAGAAACGGAAGGGAATAAGAAGAAGGAGAAGAATCGTTTGATTGTGACGAAAAAGAAGAAGAATCGGCGAAAAAAGAACATATTTTTTGCAATTGGGCTTCAATGATTTCTTTTTAAGAAAGGAGAGCTAAATAAAAAACCTAAGATGGGCTTACATGGGCTCCACAGAAATGCCTAAAAACTTTGCAAAAAAAAATTAGTGACAGGTGACGTGGCAGCGTGGGAGAGAAGCATAAAAGTGCTGAGCGGGGTGCAGCTGCTATCATTTAGTAAAGACTAGATGATATCCCGTGCTACGTGCGGGCGTATATTAAATTTATTGTGTTAAAAATATTAAAATATTTAATATTACACATCTACTGTTTATATTTAATTGATTAGATATCATCTTTTCAAAGTGTGTTTTAGTTTATGGAAACAAGTACCAAAAGAAATACTCATTTTCCTCTAATTTATTTTGTTTAACTTCTTCAATTTATATTCCTACATTTAGTTGGCCTTAATTTGACACCAATATCTCTTATCCTAATCAAATTCAAACCAATTGGAACATACTTAATAATAGCAACCCTCTTTCTTTACCCAATTTTTCATAGTTTGTAAATCTATATTCTTCTTCTGAGTTAACATGTCATGTGAATTAGAGCCTATTACAGTCGATAGTTTTGAATAATATTTGTAATGTTAAGTATGTATCTTAAGATCCGGAAACTATATAATAAAAACCCGCTATTGTATTTGATATATAAAAGAAAAAAGGTTTATTTATAGCATCTTCGGTAAACATTACAAAGCTGTGGGACATGTTTTTCAAAATTTTAATACTTATTGTATATATGTGAAACATATTTAATTTAGGTTTGTTTCTATGTTTGTTTTGTTTTGTAAGTTATAGCTATCGTATAGCATATATAATAATAAGGGTTTCTTTAACTTTGTAGGAAATTAGATCTATAAAAGAAATGGTCATTCTCTTTCTAAATTGTCATTTCCTTTTTAGGAAATTTTAATTGGCGGCTTTTTTATAGTTAATCTTTATCCTTTTTCTGTCCATAATTATTTAATTTTTCTTCTTATTGGTCTTCTAAGGTGTTTCGCCAATGTCTACACATTAAGTTCCAAAGTTTTAAGAAGTAAAAAAGAGAATGAGTTTAGAACTATCACGCAATCACTTTTAGACGACCCCTTTAGGTAGATAGGAATGTCTCGTTGGTAATATATTTCCATTTAGAACATAATTCAAGAGTTATGTCAATGCTCTTTGTTTGTTTTTTATATGCATTGTATATATTATTTATAAGAAGTTGAAGCAAAGTATGGAATATATGAATTTTAGTATGAATTAAGAATATGAATTTAATTGGTTTATAAAGCTTCGTCCGCATCATTTCCCTCCTTCGGCTGCATTTCACTTATGTTCATTGATCGCTCAAATTTTCTTATTTTATTCAAGTCCACAATGGTACAATCCATCTTAGTTTATAGTGAAAAAAACTGAACAATAGATATTTATGTCTAACAAAACAAAACTTTAAGCAATGCCTAAACACGAAATGTAACCAACTTTTGTCCTCCCTTCTTTCATCAAGAAAGTCTTTGCCTTGCCTGACTTTAGCATAACCATGATGGCTACTAATAAAATCTTCTTAGCTTACCAGAATATCACATAACAGTTGGAAGAAAACCTTATAATTTCTGCAACAATGGAGGATATTATTCTACGAAAAGAAATCGGATCATCATTTGACAAAGCCTATTCAATAGCTACACTAAGGGAGGTAAAGTAGTTTATTCGTACAAATTGGAGAGTTCCTTTTGATTCTTCAATATGATACTGCACACACAATCATTTACCTTTGATAAGTCAACTATCTCAAATCTTGCGCCTCCGGATGAATAAAAAATTTTCTTCAATCTCGGCGAGGGCATCGAAGTCGCCGGGGACGATGCAGTTCTCCACGTCCCACCAAACCCGATTTCTTCTTGCCCTTCTGTTTCTTCTTTGGACCTTGGCCAACTCGGCTCTCATGCCTGGAATGCAGTATTTCTTGAAGCCCTTTCCATACGAAGAAGCAACCATTCCAAACGAAGAAGAAACGGAGGAAGAAGAAGAGGCGGCGACGGCCAACTCACGCGAATTTAGGGTTTTGGTGCTATTTAAAGTATAAAGAAGAAGCGCAGTAGATTAGGGTTTCTCCCTAGGGTTTAAGAGGGAAATAGCCATATTGGGCCTGGATGGTCATATTGGGCCCGAGCATTTAATCGATGTAATGGGTGGTCTTTTTTTTTTTTTTGTCGGAATGGGTGGCCTTTTTAATCATACTCAGAAAGTGTGACTCGTGATAAGCGATTACAATCATCCAATCAATGTTTGAAAATTACAATAGAAACTATGAAGCTATAAAAATAAAAATAAAACTATGAAGCTACTAATCCAATTATATTTCTATCTTTTACTTATGATAGTGACTATAATTGAATCCCATTTATAAACTACTGACAAGTCGACAACTAAAGAAAAGAAAGGGAATAGCAAAAATTAAAGAATAAAACTGCAGAAATAATCCAAAACCAAATTATAAAACCATCTTTGTGTGTGTGCTTTGCTTACGCCACAGTCTGCCCTTTGTCTCTGTAAATTTTCTCAGCCCACGACATTATCCGAACCCTCTCATTCATCCTAAAGCCTCTCTCCGACACCACATTGTCCTTGACCAAAGAGTTAACCCACGACACATCTGGCTCGTTCCTGTAATCTCTCACTCCGTTACTGTTACCGTTATTGCTATTGTTGTTCCCATGGATTCCAAAGGAAACGCTTCTCCTCATCTTACTCAGCTCCTCTCCTTGCATCCCCCATTCGAGCTTCCCGCTAGGCGATCCCCAATCCGAGAGATTCGACTGCTGCGCCGCTGTTTGAGCAGCTGGTTTGAAACTCAAGCTGCGTTTCGCAAACGCGGATGATCTAGCGTTCATCACCGCCGCAACCGCAGCCGCAGCTGAAGACTCAAACCCGTGGTGAGGAGGCTGTTGCTGCCTCACCGGAGAAGAAGGATAATGCTGGTTCATGTTTTGACCCCTCGGAGAGGAAACATAAGACCCGAACGTCTCTTCCACATTGCTAAAACCTCGAAGTCTCATCTCCATCTCCATATCAAGATCCAAATCTCTTGCGCTCAACGTTGACTTCAATCTACTTCCTCCTCCGTTAAGCTGCAGAGCCGGTGGAGTCAGAGCATTCACTCTGTTCTGCCATGACCCACCGTTTCTTGGAGAGGAAGCCATCGGAGAAACCGGAGGAGTCGAAACTCCTGAAGAAGAATACGCAAGCGGAGACGACAAACCAGTCGGCTGCATCATCATCTCCAAGCTGCTAAACGGAGACTGAGACACAGCAGCAGAGCCAGTCGAAGCATTCACAGGTCTCATCTCTTCACGTCTATGCGCAAAGAAACAAACTTTCCTTGCACAACAAGTCTCGTCTTTACAGAGCCTTGTCTTATACTGCGCCGGGTGAAGCCACGACTCGAAAACCCCGTGCGCGTACTCGCAGGAATCTCCTTTCGGACAAGACCCTTTACGAAACTCAGGACAAGGAACACAAGTGTAAGGATACTTCCTCGGATCTCTTCTCCTCGCGTTCTCTCCCGGATGAACAAAAGCACACTCCGTCCAGTCGTGAGAGTAAGCTCTCGAACAGGGCTTGACCTTAAAGCTATACATCCTAAACTCGTCACTTCCGTAAACACCTTCGTTGATATCAGGTAATGACGCATCAGCTGGATACTTAGACACTGTCTTGATCTCTTCTTCTTCGACAGCATCATTGATCATAACACCGCCTCCTCGGAGCAACAACTCGACGGCCTTTCTCCTCGGAGCAGCCACGAATCTCGAAACTCGAACAAAGAGATCCAAAGGTTGATTCCCATTAGCATCAACAGAGTTAGCCAGAGCAGAGCCATCAAGCAAGGTTTTGATGACTTCGATCATGTTAACAGAACAACCAGCGACAGCACAGTGAAGCGCAGTGACTTTATCTTCGCCGGAAGCTCTGTTCACGTCGGATTTTCCGGTGGAAATGATAAAGTTCAAAACTTTTGTGCTTCCGTACGTAGCAGCAACCATTAGAGGCGTCCTCTGTTCAAGACCCATCTTCTTCTTCGACCCGAGACTTCTGCAATACCATAAACCAGGCTCGTCTAAATCGAGCCCTTTCTCTTCGACCTCTCTCTTGAACGATTGGAGATCATCACAGGCGGCGAATTCGAGGAGACTCATCGTTTCTTCTTTATTTGATTCGGTTTCTGTTAGGGTGTTTGAAGAGCAGAGATTGCTCTTTGGGCCGCTGCACATAGTATCTATCCTGTGGATTCATAAGAAATGAGAATTAGGAAACTGATAAGAGAATAAATCGCCGCAATAGAATCCAATTTCGTGTAACTTTTGCCATTTTCTAAGATTCTTATGCAGATTTTTAGCGGATTTAATAAAGCTAAGCACTTGACAAGCCAACGACTCTTTCTAATTCTACTCAATACCTTTTCTTCTCTCCGTTGAAAAAATCCAAGCAAAAATTGTTTTTTTCTTCTTTTGAGAAGAGGGGTCAAAGATAAAGCAAGAAAGCAGAGATTTTTCAGTTGGAGAAACTAAAAAACCAACCAACACACGAGCAGTAATGTCTCTAGAAATTGCAAAACTTGCAAACCGAATTGATAATTCCACAGAAGAAGAGGTACTACAAACCTGGAATGAAGTGGCAAGGAAATCAATAGAGGAAGAAAGTTGGAAGCTTTTGTTGGTTATTGAGAGTTAGGTGATGAATGAAGAAACAAGTGGGAAATGGGTTGGGTTTTTAAGAAGAATGGGTTGAGACTTGGGAGAGATAAAGGCGATGAAGGAAAGAGGAAGCTGCGCTCTTTCTTTCCTCTTTCTCTTTCCCGGTCTTCTTTATTTATTTCATTATTTTATATACTTTCTTTTTGAAAAGAAAATTTGGTTTTTCTTCTTGCAAAAAAGTCAAAAAAGTGGAAACGAAAATTTCAAAGATGACGATGTCGCTATATTGTGAAATTTCGTATTTTTTTTTGTGAAAACTGACAAGGAAATCATCTTATCATCGTTTACTTTTATTTATTAAAAAAAATTATAATTTTGTGGGTGGAAGTGGTAAATTGGAGTTGGGGAGTGTTAAAAAGGGACCCACCACTAAGATATTTGACCGACTAAACCGGTACCCCGTGGACACGCGTGTGCGAGTCCCACCACAGACACAAACACGCGCTTTGAAGAACACGTGAGAGAGACTGAAACCAGTCAACTCTTACTACTACTTGCTTGTGTTTGAGCTGTCCAATTTTGGTTAAAATGCGAGCCAAACCCAAAACGAATGGAAGAAGTGTGGTTAGTGTTAGGTCTCTACTTGATTATTTGGTATTTGTATCAAATTAGATCGACCAGGTTATAATTTTGATTTCCATATGAGTACTCTCAAAGTAGAAAGACTAAATGTTGGCTTTCTGTCTCTGCTATTTCAAAATACAGCAAATTCGGTTTCTGTTTATATATTACAAGTGTTTAAATCTTAATTTTTTTAAATGCAAACACAAAACTTGATTAGAAGTGTGTTTTATGTTTGCTTTCATTATCTATAGCAAAACATTTGAATGACCAAACATACATTTTTGTTTCTTTTGTATAGGTTTCTAAGTTGATGTAATGTTTATAAACATAAGCGATATTTAGTCACATAGATATACATAAATAAAAACAGAAAACTAATAAACTAAATTTGCACATCATATGAGTCAAAGGCGTAGGGCGAGCGCGTGGGGGAAGAGATAGAGTCAAGCACGCGTTCTCTAATCTTCATTCCCTTTGGGTGGGCGACAAAAATGTAATCACTTGGCTTCTCAATTTCATTATCTTCATCTTACTTTACTTGCCCACTATTAAATTAATCCTTCCCAAATCTTTTCTCTTCTTTATACTTCTAGGATCATTTGATCACACAAAACATGGTCGTTTTTATTATTCTTTTATTTGCTAAAGTGATCATGACTTTGTGGGAGTATATATGGATTTCGGCAACTTGGGGTCAGATATGTACAAGTGGGTTGAAGAGTCAAAACTTGGAAAGAATAGAGACTGCATTCATAGTCCAAATCGTTATTAGAAATTTAGAATACTTCTAAATGCTCATCTTCCAATGATTGGGGTTTCCTCTATCACTTTTTTTATTTTCCACAAACATTTTCGCTAGGTCAGATTTTGGACTACAAAAGAAATAATACAAATAGTCCGAAGTAGATGTCATTACTCATTTATGGCCCAGAAACACACAAGTATAAATGAATAATGACGGGCCAACGGCGAAGTCATATTATTATCTTGAAAATCCACACGACGTGAGTTATGCATGAAAATATTTTATGAAAAGAGGGTTATGGGAACTAATGATGTTTAAAGAGTAACTATGTGATAAGAATATGTATATGATCACGAAGGCCACTTTTGTTTGACCTTGCAAAAGTTCGTGTATCTCCTCCCACCACTGATTTTGTTGTTGATGGTATCTCATTCCACTCTCGTATTGTTGAAGAACTAAATTGATAAACTACAAAGAGGCTGAGATAAGAAAATGGAAACTAGTTCTCATTGCAACTTCGGCCCAATGATGTACCAAAAACCAATATAGCTCGTATAAGCCATTTTAGATTATAATGACCCAATATAAGCTTTTTAAAAGCGAAAATCACAAACATTTAAACTTTATAAAACGTTTAGTTATATGTCATACAATTTTACAGGTTCCATAACAAACAGTTTTATTTGTGTCATATAAATGGTAAATAGTTCTACATGTGCCACACACTAATAATTGATAACTTCACGTAATGATTTATATTTGATGAGATTTTCTATAAATCAATTTGATCAAGTAGCATGAAATTTGTCGCTTTAAACTTCATGATAATTAACTGCTTGTGCCGTTTAAAGCTTTGGGGGAGTAATTCGAATTGAATTTTGAACATATGGGTCAACTTGTATGAGGTTAGGATTCCATTTTCTTGATTTAACATAGATAATTATTGTATTATATGCATGTGAGTTTATATTTCTATGGAATGAAAGCAATAAAACGAAGTTGGCAGACAAAATCAGTTGTCGTATATTGTATAGTTTGGTTATTGAATCTTGACGTAGTTATAATAATGACTCAGAAACCACTAATACTGTATATATATGGAGATGACGATATGCTTCGCACCTTTCCGCTTTGATTGGTGTTTATACAGTTAACCAAATTGTTGAATAATTGCTTCTCACCATTTAACGCACGTGCCAAATTAAGTCCCCAGTGAAGTTATTTACTTTATCTCGGAGTTGCGTATACAACTTGTACTGTTACAAAGCTGTATCTTTGTCTTTTCTACTTTATGCTTCGCTTCGTCAATATGGAAAATCATTATTATCTAATAAATAATTTTATCCATAAGAAGAACTAATCAACAATTTTGAAATGAATATACACTAAACCATTGTGTATATACTCTTAAGTTTTATGAGAACATACACATACAAATATAGATGTATTTCTTGAATTCTAACAACCGAACGTAAGTAAAATAAAGCTAATCCAACCAAGCCTAAACAAATGCTGCTAATAATAATTTTACCAAAAAAATGCTGCTAATAAAAAAGTTTTTATACTTTCCCTATCTAGAAGGACAAAACAAAAAAAAACGACTATATTGACATTTAGATATCACTTAAATCTATCTCTGGTTTTAATAATTTTTTTAAAGAATTTGTGAATGCCACCAATCCACATAATTAAGTCACATGGCTGCATAAGGCATGATTAGACAGACTATCACAAGTGGCCCATTAAAGGGCGACTTCTGTGCAGTAAACCAGACGTGGCCTGTTTCTATTGGAGGACGATGGCGAATCTATCGTCTTTGTCTTTTGGTGCTTCCATTTGTTTAGTTGTCTGTCATCTCAACGACCAATTCTCCGACAAATTCCACTATTCGGTTTATCAAGGAAAATAGAAAGAAAAAAAGCACATCGAGTTTACTTTTTCCTGATAATATTATATGCTTTTCAAGTTTATCCAAGAATAATAAAAGTTACAAGACTAATGCTGTGCAGAGCCTAATTTATCTAGATGGTATTACTAAAAATTTCATGCATAAATCAATATTTTCTCGACGATTTTTAAAATAATTTCGAAACATGTAATGACAAAAACACATAACTATCTACTACTACTCGATCAATATGACAAAACACTCGACAGCAACGACAACTCAGTTTAAATATTTAAGTTAGCCAAAAAATAAAAAATAATTTATATTACTCGAATTAGTTAGTAGTTAGAATCGAATATTCTTGTCATGTTTTCTCGTTAAGGCCTATAATTTTCATCTTGGCATATGCGGCCGACAAGTGCACTACCCATCATATTAACGAAAGTGGACGACATTTGTTTTGGGACATACAAATAAATCTTCAATTACAATGCATAAAGATGAGATCACGTCGTGCTGAATTTTGTTTCGGCGCCGAAAATCGAAATGCATACAAACACAGATTCGAAATGACCTTAATCACATTTAAAAAAAAAAAATATTTCTGGATAATAACCAATTTTCAAATGTCGACACAAAAAACATCTAACACTAAAAATGTGTCAAATTGCTTTTTCTATTTATTTATGAATAAGTACCCTTCAGATGGCCTTGTCATAAGAGTTAAGGCTCTTAATTAACCTTTATTTTCTGAACAAAGGCTCTTAATTAACCAATTTGTGCATTTCCTTCAGTTGTTGTGTAACATGACACCAATTCAACTGATTAGATATAAACAAAAATATTTTTAGTAATAATCAAATTCAGAAGAACAAATACTTTTCGTTGGTACTTCTAATTTAAATAGCCTAATATAAAACGTGAAAAATTCAATAAATGTCACTCGACAATTGGCATCGACTTTTATGTAACGTTGCCCTCATCTAGACACTTTTTTTGTCTTGGCGATGTAAATTGATAGGTTTGCTAAGTATCTATCCCTTAAGATCTCCCTGTTTGTCGTTTGTACACTGTTATGCATGTGTCTAAGCATTGGCTCGTTGGAAGTGAATTAAAAAACGGCATTTTAGTTTGAATAAATAATCTATCTCAATTACAAATTCAACGGCCACACTTTGCTGCTTTGGCACTAAATTCCTAATCAAGTAACAAAACAGGTTACATAAATTCAAATATATATATTAGATGACTCGTTCAGATGTCGGATCAGACATCTCTTACTATGTGTTATAGACTTATCTAGTCTAACCGAACTGAGATACATATGAACCTAGCTAACTTGAATTATGAATATAGCATATAAATGTTTTTCAATCTCTTAGCCGAAAAGTTTATTAATATCCTTACATGTATAACAAGTAGATCATCTAACTTCGTCAAGTAGCGTGAGTTTTCGTTGTGCCACTATATAATTTGTTAATTCCGCCTATTAATTTGTAAGTCAATACAAAAAACCATTTAATATAATTATGCATGCCTCTAGCTCTCTCCTTTTCTCTATATATATAACTTTGGTAATACTACTTGTTTTATCCTCACCCTCCTTCTTCATCTTCTTGGGCCCTTAATCAAAAAGTAACCAAAGCCATGAACATCTTCCAAGATTGGCCTGAGCCTATAGTCCGTGTCCAATCCTTATCCGAAAGCAACCTCCAAGCCATACCAAATCGCTACGTCAAGCCTCTATCTCAGCGTCCAAACTTACCCTCTCACAACCACCACAACCCTCACAACACCACCATCCCCATCATTGACTTAGGTCTCTTACACACAGACGACATAACTCTACAGGCCAAAACGCTTGATGAGATCTCCAAAGCTTGTAGAGAACGGTGGATTTTGGCAGGTTTTGACAAATAACTAATTCCATATATTGGTCGATTTAAAAGAGAAATCTTACAAGATATCCTACGAATTATGAAGATAATTGAACAGACGGCTTTATAGCATGTTCAAAAATAGGCAGAGTTAATAAAAGAGTGGAGAACAAAAAAAAACATCCTTACTATAGGTTTAGTGACTGAAGGCCACAAAAAATTGGATGGTTTAGGTCTCTCTTTTAACCAAAAAAAGGTTTAGGTGTATCTTAGGATTGGATACCATATACACAGTATGTTTAATTACTGAATATTATTAGAATAAATTTACACGATATATTATACTTAGGAGATTGCAAATAAGTTAAAGATATAGACACAATCTTCTATCTATATATACTCTACACTTATAAACTCTAGTATTTGGTATAAGAACATGTATAAATGGTATGTAAACGGATAATGCGATTCATGTGAGCATTGGAGAAACATGTGAATAGTGGTGGGTGGAATGCTTTTATGCATGAAAACTAAAAGCAATGCAATTATCAAAATTTAGTAGGGTCCATACTTTTGGCTATCGACAACCATTGTTAATTCTTACATATATTTTATGTTTATAAAGTTGCAAAAGTGCATTTGAGTTTTGGGAAGAATGTGCTGTGTTATATGTCTTGTAATGAAGGCTTGGATATCTATATTCTCTTTTGTTAGTTTTGACTTTTGACCAACACCAAAGTGTATCTTCTTTTTTAATCTTAAGACTATTTCACGTTAACCAACTAATTACTTGATTTTTGTAATCTCTTGGACAAGATGATTAATTAGTATGATATTCAGTACAAGATTTATTTAAATCAGTGCCTAAAGTATACACTAATAAAATATGTATTGTTTGTTTCATCACCACTTCTTCATTGCTATACCATGCCGGCTGCCGCGTAACTCTCTCAGTCTTGAATCATTCCTCAGTTCCTCACCACCTGGCTTGGACTATTCCAGCCTTTCACTCCGTAAGAATTACATGATTATTTGCTCAAATCTATCATTGATCTCTGGTCTCTCCATGACTAACACTGACTATAACTGACGATAACTGATTCTTATAATATTACATCATATATATATTTACGCTTTATGTATGGGTTTATCGTAACCTATATCATTGATATGCGCCGTTATAGGTCAATCTTGTTAAATATGTGAAGCTACGACATAGTGTGAAAAGGGAAGCAAACATTATCAAAGACTTGGAAAATTTGAACTTTGACAAAGCTCGAACCAGCTCAACAAATGTAAGAAAACCAAATACACCCAAACCCAAAGGCCCAAGATTTTGTTTAGAGTTTCAATATTAGACAAATCCACATTGTCCATTTCTCATTTAGCGAACTCCAGTTTTAGTATATGAATATCATATTAGTATTTGCAAATCAATTTTCGTGAATGGAGCCACCACGTTAACTCTCAGCCGCGGAATTACCGAGATGCCCTTAATGAAAATCTTTCAATTAAATCTTCGAATTTTTCCTTTTTTATTAAAAACGAATTTGATTATTGACTTTTAATATTTTTAGATAAATATGTTAACTACCATATCCCCGCCTTATTTTTGGAAGATATTATAAATTTTAGGAAGATAAATAATAAGTAAACCCTAAGATTCTTAACTGACCCTGTATTATATAAATAGATACGATCTTGGAAAAACAACACAATTTTCATTACGATTTGCAATTTGTCTTTCAATACGTAATTTTAGTTCTTAGATCTCATATTCTTCTTCACATGTACCTTAATTGTTTTAGTTCGATCTTAGTTCTAATAAAACTATTTATGAACTGATTATTTGTTATTTTCTGTCAATATCATCTATTGATCCGCTTCTAACTACTTCCTCTCTCACTTTTGTAACAGAAAATTCATTATTTGTAAGCTGATGGAATAGAAGTTCATATATGGTCCCAAGCCAGAAGTATTCTTCCCCAAAAATAGAGGGTATGAACATCTTTTCTTTTATATATCAACTTAATATTCATGAAACCCTAATTCTAATGATGAGAGTATAACGTTTTCTGTTTTTTTTTTTTAATTTTAGTTTCTTCAATGAAGCTGGAGGAATGGAATTGGCGGAGCCTGGAAAGAAGAATGATTTCGGGAGCATATTAGCAGGTACAAAGATTTGGTTGAATCTTGAGATCATGAGAGGCCGTACCACATGATGTGCATGTGGCTTTGGATTGATTGTCTTTGCAGATCCTTATGTTGTTGTAGAGAGAATGATCATGAAGAAACAAATCATTGATGGCCGATCGGTTAATATTCTAAAACTCATCAAAAATCCTTCATCAATCTCTGTAACATATGATGTAACCTTTTGTTTTTTTTTCTTACTTGCGCAGTAAGCTTTCTTTAGTAGGACAAGACGATTTTTGAGTTCCTGTTTCGTCTACTAAAGGAGAGAGAACCTTATTCTGAATTCTTCTTACTTTTGGAGAGTCGAGTCAATTAAAGAAAAGAGAAACACTACGAAGAGGTAATGATTCAATGAGAAGATATTTCCTGATGCTAACATGTGGCCAAATTACGATGAAATTGAGGATGAAGAAGATGACAAAGAAGAAATACAATATTTATTCACAGTCTCCTCGACTCTCTTCTTTTATTTTATCAGTTTCATCTTTCTTCATGTAAGAAGAAATACAAGAAGAAAGATGAAACTAATAAAATAAGATGTTGCAAAAATGAAAAGGATTGATAACACAAAATGATAAAGAGTACAAAATGAAATAAGAAGAAAAGACTGAATAAAAACAAGGAAAAGATGAAAGTTGGAAGACAAAGACGGAAAAAACAAAAGAAACAGAACAAAAGAAGAAAATATTTGAAGAATATGTGAACAATAAAGAAGTTGAAAAAAAATCAAAAGATAAAAAAAACGAAGAATAAGAACACAAAGACAGTTGAAAAACAAATTGTAAATAAAAGGAAGAAAACTGATAAAAAGCAGGAAATAATAAGATGACGATGAAGAGAAAATTAAAAGAGAATAGAAAGTTTGATAAGAATAAGAAAAAAAATAGTAGAAAATGAAGAAAAAATATGAAGTAAAAGACAAATTAAAATAAAAAGATAAAATAGGGTTGAGGTTTATGATGTACGGTTTATACTGATGGGCGTAAAATTTAGTTGTTGATGCATTTAAAAAAATTTGAATACACTAAATTACCGATATAAAAAAACTTATGTTAAAAATAAAATAAAAGTAAATATAGAACCATTTCTAAAATGTGGGTTCGGGTGTACAGATTGGCGGGGGGCGGAGGGTGTTACACTATGGTGTTTGGGTTGTTTAGGGGGTGGTGTTACACTGTAGGGTTTGGGTTTAGGATGTAGGATTTATATTGATGGGTGTAGGGTTTAGTTTTTGGTGCATTTTAAAAACTTAAATTATTATAGAAGAATTTCATTATAGAAAATCATTTATTATAAAAAGTTATACTATTTATCTTATTAAAACTTTTAATTAATTAATGTATTTTAAAAATATTGTACCCGCACAAGGTGCGGGACAACCACCTTGTATTTGCGGTGATGAATCCATTATTGTTATAAGCTGGTCATCCTGTAAAAAATGTTCATCAAAAGTTACTTAGAAAAGTTTATTGAATTTGATTATATATTGTGTTAATTAGTGTTTGTTTAATTTTTAATTTTTAATACTAGAGATATGTTTGATTTTTATGGTCAGTCTCCTCCGGTCCCCCTCCGGTTTAAAAATGATGGGCTAATAACAAAGTCAAAAGTCAAAAAGGTTAGTTAAAAAGTCTGAGTCGAATCGAATCACCCAATAATAGCTGCTGCTTCTTCTCACCATACACAACCGCCCGAATCACAAAAGCTCGTTTTTGAGTTCACATGACGGATCTTCTTCGGGTAAGCGACGATCAATACCCGCGGAGCAGACGCATATAGAAAGAATCTCAGATTTTCTTCAATCTCTCTGCATCGTCGTTGCTTTGCAGATCAAATTCTATTGATCTATGTCAGGTCAGTCCATTTCTCTTTGTCTTTTGATTCTTTGATCATTTTTTGGGTTTTTCGACATACCCAGATGGTGATTATTTGTGTTCCTTGTCGGATTATGGTTTATGATTGCTGTTCCATGCAAAAGTTGGAATTTTGAAGTTGAAAGTTTCACTCTCTTTCTTATTTGATGATTATCTGTGCTTCTGTGTAGGATTTATGCTTTTAGGTTCTTGTTTCATGAACAAGTTGGCATTTTTAAGTTCTTATGTTTGAAGGTTTTAGATTGAGTTCTTAAGCTGAAGTTCTTGTTTGATTAATGTGTGATTCCCAGATAATCAAGAACCAATCTTGGCGAAGGAGGAGAATGTAACAGGCATTCCATCACCACTCTTGAAGCTCAAAAGCTGGCAATGGTGGCTTCTTGTCTCCATCAACATCTTCTTCCTCATCGGTGGTCAAGCTGCTTCAGTCCTCCTCGGTAGGTTCTACTACGACGAAGGTGGAAACAGCAAATGGATGGCCACTCTTGTTCAAACCGGTGCGTTTCCTATCCTCTACATCCCTCTTCTGCTCCTTCCTTCTTCTTCCTCTGCTAACGCAGCAGAGCCTTCTTCTTCTTCTTCTTGCTCGCTCAAAACCATCGTCTTGATCTACGTCCTCCTCGGCGTCATCATCGCTGGAGACAACATGTTGTACTCCGTTGGACTTCTCTACCTCTCCGCGTCGACTTACTCGCTCATCTGCGCGACTCAGCTAGCCTTCAACGCCGTCTTCTCTTACTTCATCAATGCTCAGAAGTTCACTGCTCTGATTCTCAACTCCGTTGTTTTCCTCTCTTTCTCTGCTGCTCTGATTGCTCTCAACGACGACGCGGACGCTCCTTCCGGCGTCTCTAGCTCCAAATACATCGTCGGGTTCGTCTGTACGCTCGCTGCATCCGCGCTCTACTCTCTGTTACTCTCTCTCATGCAGTTCTCGTTCGAGAAGATCTTGAAGAGAGAGACGTTCTCAGTGGTTCTTGAAATGCAGATCTACACTTCTTTGGTGGCGACTTGTGTTGCGGTGATCGGGCTTTTCGCTAGCGGGGAATGGAGAACGCTGCACGGTGAAATGGTTGGGTATCACAAAGGTCGAGCCTCGTATGTATTGACTTTAGTTGGTACTGCAGTTACTTGGCAAGTGTGTTCCGTTGGAGTTGTTGGTTTGATATTTCTGGTGTCGTCACTCTTCTCGAATGTGATAAGTACTCTGTCTTTGGCCGTGACTCCGCTCGCGGCTTTGGCTGTGTTCAGGGATAAGATGAGCGGCGTTAAGATTATGTCGATGCTTATTGCGCTTTGGGGTTTCGCTTCTTATGTCTACCAGAATTATCTTGATGATTTGAAGGTTAGACGAGCCCGGCAATAGGCTCAAGCGGGGCGGGTTTGAATCCGCCCTGTTGAATCTGTTGTGATTCTTAGGGAGCTATTGGTTTAAATTAGATTATATACTATGCTTTCTTGTTTAAGATTAAGCAAGTAATAAGTGTCACTATTGGATTAGTCATATTGGAAATGTATAAAATGCATTTCCAATGTTAACTTTTGTTTTTGTTTAGCATACAAACTTCAATGTATACAATACTGTGGAATTGATCAAGTGGGATACAAATATTTAACTTAAAGTTTGTTACAAGACAAAGTTATGTTAAAAATAAGAGAAGAAAGAGAGATGGACAATTTATTAGACTACAAATTAACAGAATTTAAGGAACCGGTCTACGGCTGCTAAGATTAGGAATTTGTGATTGAGGTTTAAGCCAAGAGCCAGAAGTTTTTCTGCCACCTTGTGTTGATCAAGTAGCCACTAACACCTTTGCATTGTTTCCTCACACCAATCGTCAAGCAATCTGCACCGTTGATACACCGATTCACGAGCTCCTCTGATCTGCTAGGTCCACATAAGCTACGTACAAGACGACAAAAGCAAGAAATGAAATTATTTGAAACGTGAGAATCAT